TACCCCCCCCCCCCCCCCCCCAACCACACACACACACACACAGCCCTCTCCTAGCACCCCCACGCCCACCCACCAGTAGAAACGCCTATGTTGAGAGTTTGAATTTTCGTGATTTTAGGATGACCAGATTTTGAGTTATTGCCCTTGTCATTACAAAAAGTGTCTGAACAGATTTGAAACCAAATTTTATCTGTTATGTGAGCGTATACTAGTTAAATAACCGTTGGCTTTACAGGTAGTTATTTTAAAAACCTTCTCTTCTCTCCTACAATTAACTTTCATGAATATTAATTTTATTGTCCCCGTCTTTTCTTTGTCATTCGTTTAATTGCCTATTGTTAAATTTTAAAGAGTGTTTAAAAAATTCAGTTTAACTTATTTATATAAATTTCACCCCAGTTTGCTATTGTTTGTGAGTTGATAGTTCAGAAGAATTAAAAACTTTTAAGAAAATGGTCGGTTTTGGTATTTTTAGGTATTATTGTGATATATTGGGTGATAGTTTTCTAAATACTTGTGATACTTTTCTGATATTGATACCAATCTAATACTGGTGATACTTTTTTTCATATTGATACCAATCTGATACTGGTGATACTTTTCTGATATTGGTACCATTCTGATACTGGTGATACTTTTCTGATATTGGTACCATTCTGATACTGGTGATACTTTTCTGATATTGAAGGATCCCTTTTTACAACGAATGATGCCTTTCGGATGATGGTGACATTTTTACTGATACTTATAATACCATGTCAGTATATATTTTAACTTGAGATGATCGTAATTTGATAATCGTTATGTTACAAGAATTCATGTAAATAAATATATGGATGAAAATAAGAAAATACCAGCGATTCTTGGTAATCATCAGTGAAGAAATTGGTTATCTACTGACTCTTAATGATAAGCTGTTTCAATAATATTATACCTATAGGCGAAGTAAATGGACTGACCGTTTAACCTATATCGAACTCGACTAATGACACAGTTTTATACCTCATTCATTTCAGTTGTATTTCACTAATTAATAAGTCAGTATTAGGTGTGATTTGAATATGTTTAAATGTAAAGGATTGTTCATTTAACTATTTTTACCAATTATTACACCTGTATGTGGGATTTTAGTGTAGTTTTATATTGGGAGTAATATCTGAATTGAAATCTTTATACACTTCAATCGATTTTGATTTTGGATTCACTTTTGGAACTGAAGTATCGACTTAGTCTGTAGAAAAAATTGACGTTTACGTTCTTTGGTCTTGGAGAACTCTTTAGAATATTTGAGACCTTATTTTTTTATGATGGATGATTGTGCCTTCGAGTTAAAACCTTTGTGATTTGACTTTGAATTGGGAGACAGAATTCCAGTGTACATCGAGTTCTAATTCTTGAAAATCTAGGTTTGGACTGCGTGTCATCTTGACTTTCACTCTGTATTTTGTTTAAAATAGTATTTAAAATAAAATATACAGTATTCTTATATATAAACATACAGTCATCAACTATATATAGCGACTTTATTATAATTAACTTAAAAGAATTAAGATAAAAGTGTGAATCTAAGTTAAATTAGTGAAGCATTGTAACAAACATGTAGCAAGTTTTATACCCATCTTTGTTAAACTTTACTAAAAATCTACGTGTACACTGCTTTTCACGAATCATGTGCAAAGGACAGACTTTGACGCAATAAGAAACACCAACTTCACGAGAAGAACCACAAACTGTTCTTTACCACATTGACACAGAATGACGATGGAGATGAAGGAGACGGAGAACATTGAGGATCATCCAAGACGTAAGAGAAGAGTGACCTTCTCAATGTCAACTATTGAAGCTGATCTGAAGAAGAAAACCTACATTGAAGGCAAAGAGTTACGGAATACGGCCATCATTTCCGTATCGTTTATGGTAGTATTTACAGCACACATCGCATTGCAGAATCTGCAATCAAGTTTACACGAAGAGGAACAATTAGGAGTGATTGCTCTCAGCTGTTTATATGGTGCCATTATATTTTCAGGAATATTGGCACCAACATTCATTGGAGCTATCGGTGCAAAAGGATGTATTATAGCATCGTGGGTTGGTCATTTAATTTACACCAGTGCTAACTTTTACCCCACATGGGCTACTCTGATACCGGCGTCTATTTTACTGGGTTTGTTTTTCGGTCCACTTTGGACATCCCAGAGTTTGTATATTTCCGCTTGTGCCTATTCGTACTCGGGATCAACAGATGAATCGCCATATTCTGTGTTAAGTAAATTGAATGGTTTATTCTTTATGATGTACGAAACCACACAGATCACTGGTAATCTAATTTCATCTTTGGTTCTTCAACATAGTACATACAACATGTCGGATGCAAATATCACCAAATATTGTGGACCTCACGATTGTCCGGGTCACATTAATTCTACCGATATCGAGGAACCGGACGAGGAACTCTTTCATCTTCTGTTAGGAATATTCCTGAGTTTAGAAATGATTGGACTTTTTATAACTATCGTCTTTCTCAATTCTTTACCTAAAAGTGACTGGACACTGTCAAAGTCTGTAAAAGAATCAATGGCGTCGTGCTTTGTGACTTTAGTAAAAAGTGAAATAATTTTCTTGGTGCCTTTTATTATGTTTCAAGCTATGGAGCAAGCCATTTTATTGGGAGATTTTACAAAGGTATGTATGGTTTTTATTTTGTTAAAGGTATTCAAAAGAGGTCTTCTTCGATAATGATGTTTCTAGAAATCATTAGACGGATGGGCCACGAAATTTTCAATGGTGGGGTGATAACAGCACCAGATATGTATGAACACCGTGTAGAAAGGCCGCTGTTTTCGGCGATTGTTCTTAGAAAAACTAACTAAATTATGACGTCTTTATCGCAAATCTATAGACAGTTCAATGTATTTTTCTCAAGTTTTTAAACTTTAAATTAAAGGACACATTTAATCTCGTTCACATGTATTCTGTATAGGTGTTTCATTTGTGTGGGATTCGTGGCGTTGTGAAGACTAAGCAGAATGTCACTTGAATGACATATCAATTTTCGCACTGACATAAGGGTTACATGACTCAAGTTTTGATAAAGTTGGAATATATATTTCATCTATAATGAACTTTTTGAGTGTTTATAATACAATTTTAAAGTTTTAAATAAATACACGAAAGGGTTATTTAAATCGCGTACAAACGTTTAATTGCAAGCTTTTGAATTCGCTTTATTCTTTTATGACTGAGACTTGAAACAGGCCAAAGTTTTATTATATCAGCAAACTGATCCGAACAGTTTAAATTTTTAAAAAAAGAACAGAAAACGACTTGAACTTTCTGGTTATAGGCCAACGATAAGGATAACATAGAATACCAGACAATTTGTTGTCTTGTGGTTGTTCAGAACATCAGATGGAATGCACACTGATCTCACGCTGCATGCCCCTTTCAATATTGTTTAAAGCACATATTTTTAACTCATTCAAAACGAAGAATGTATTGTTTAATATGAATGTATATCACGTATATACCAAGAACCAAGTATGAAATATATAAAACTTAGCACCCTATGAAGCCGAAAGTTTGAAGAGTGCCTCACTTTGTTTGTCACGTTGTCGTGAGATATAAAGTTTACATGCCAAATATTCCTTAACCCGCACTCATTTTACTATAAAAATAACATGCAACATGTGTTATCGGGTCTCTTACCAACAGTAAATGATGTTCAGAATAATTTCGTGTCTGATTAAACTAGGCGTTGTAATGGCCACTTTAACAATGTATAGCGTGATTCGTTTGATAACAAATACAGTTTCTACGAAGTTACTGAGAGTAATACATCTATGACGAAATCAAGTAAAGTATATAGGTGTTTGGGCTTTTTATTTGAATATAACTCTGCAAATATGTAGAGATGATTACACGCTTGTAGTTTTGTTAGGATAGTGAACCGTCATTAACTAGAAATAGAAAATCACGCTAGTGGGATGCTCACTGATTGGAATTATCATGCTTGTAGTCTGTTGGGATATTGACCTGTCATTTACTAACTAGAAATAGAACGAGACGCTAGTGTGATACTCATCTGATCGAAAATATCATGCTAGTAGTTTTATTGGGATACTGACCTGTCATTTACTAGAAATATAACGTCTCGCTAGTATGATGCTAATCTGATTGGAAATATCGCGCTAGTACATCTATTTGGAAACCGATCTGTCATTTACTACAAATAGAACGCCACGCTTCTGGGGTGTTCATCTGATTAAAAAAGGCACCCTAGCAGTTCTGTTCAGATTTTGACCTGCTATTTACTAGAAATATAACGTCATGGGATAATCATCTGATTATATATCATATAATTGAAATATCATGCTAGTAGTTCTATTGGGATATTAACCTCTCATTTACTAGAAATAGAACACCACGCTAGTGAGATGTTCACTGATTGGAAATATCAAGCTAGAAGTTCTATTGGGATACTGGCCAATAATTTACTAGAAATAGAACACCACGCTAGTGAGATGCTCACTGATTGGAAACATCACGCTAGTAGTTCTATTGGGATACTGACCTGCTATCATAGAACTTTCATTGACTAGAATGTCACGCTATTGGGATGGTCATATTATTCGAAATATCACGATAGGCGTTATATTTTGATACTGACCTATCATGTCCCAACAATCAGAATGTTTTGGGTGATTATTTTGATCAATGCTGCAATAGTTTAGATAAAACAATAATTACACAGAAGAGTCTTTTGATTAGAATTGAATATTAACACGATTCCAATTTACACATACACTTGATAAGTTAATTAAAAAGAACTTTCTTGTTTTCAATGTTTCTACTGAAAAATTTATTTTATTGACTTCATAGCAATTTTTTATTTTCTTTTGTTTACGATAAATATTGACATTGAACCAACAGAATACATCAAATCAGAGAAAGAAAGATATAAGACAATAAGGATAGTTACGGACTATTGTTTCAAGTTTTGGATACGTGGTCTGCCACAACAATGGTTCACAATGGGAAAATAAGTTCTATTTTTAAAAAGGGGTATAAAAATATTTGTTCATTGATAGATATAATAATTGTGAATTACTTCCCCAAAATTCATATCCGCCTTCAAACTAAAAATGCAAACTGTATTCAGGTTTATCTTTTGAATATTTCAAAACATCCGGTCACTGAACGAATACCATCCTAATTTATAGAAAGTAAACAAATGCTTGTTGAGATGCTATTTTTAAGAATGATTTGTTTGTAAACATATTTCAATGAAAACTTGACGTAATTTGTATCAATGCAAATACAACCAAACCTACAATTGTGTTTTTTTTTTAAATTAACAATGAGAACTACGAATGATCATACTTTGAATGAAATTAGATTTCGGTGTAAAAATGAAATGATTTGAGTCCTACTTTTCTGGTGATTTCGAAGAAGGAGGGTAACAATGTATATATTGTAGGGACATAACAGTAAGTTAGCAAATACTGAAAGTATATGCGTTTGGTCCCTTAATAATTATCAGACAAAGTTGTTTCATCCCTTATCCAATGACTGTATAGACATCCGCATATGAAATATCGTGTTCAATAAGCCAGCAGATTGTGAAACGATGATAGTGAACATGGAAATGATTATTTTTTAACAAAATACCTTGATATTGCACAAATTGATGTTCGATCTTGTAACAATTGTAACAATGTTTTTACTTGAAAACAGTTCACCTTCAATTGATAAGCTCGACTAAATCACAAAATAATCTCTACCTTACTGCTTGATAAGAGTCACATCATAATTTGCGGTTTTTAAATTGTAGTCTGTTATAGTCTTAGCAACGCCCTTAAAATCTAACATGGATGCTCACAGCTACAGAGAACTGTGTGTGGTACAATGGCAGTAATCCGTTGTCAGAATGACTAGACCTTGAGTGAAACCCTAGAATACAGGCCTTTGAATATGGCACTCAAATATTGCCGAAGAGTGCTGGAATCAAAAATTCAGTTTATGATTCTAAAACAGTGAAACTTAGATGTCCGAACTCACAAAAACTTAGTCCAAATGAATATTCATGAAACAAAAATTATTGGTTAAAGTCTAATGCTATACATATATTTATACCTGATTGTCCCATCGTTCTCATGCCAGTTGGTAGATATCAATTTCAGATTACTGTAAACATTTCAAAATAAAATCGCGACGTACGTCTACTTACTAATAGATTATTTTTTTTTTATTAGAAATAAATAACATAACTTTAAGTAGGCCTATATGAATGTGACAAGGTCGATAGATTAGACTGAAAAAATATAACTCAAGTTGAACAACTTTTAATTAGAATGGTATGTTGAATTCTAATACAGCTGACAATTAACAAATTTAAATTTATCAAAATCTTCGAGATCATTAAATTTGATCTCAAATGGAGATTGTATGGAAATCAAAAATACCTTTTTTGACATTTGGCAATGCGTGACAGACAAAGGATATTGTTGAAAAAAGGCTCGAATTAATACAGACTGTGATTGGCTTCCCTAGCCTTATTTCGAAGAAGCTTTGAAAGCTGACGTCACTAGCCGATCCAGTCCTCATTGAAAGTTAGTAGGATATTGGATCATGAAGTCTCGAACATTTTCAAATGATTTTCAAATATCGCAATATTATTTATACGAACGATAAGAAAAACTAACTTATAACTGAATAATTAGAGGGGAATCCAACTTTAATGAGTATTAATTAATAAGATTATAATTAGCCCTAAAGATATTTAAATGACTCGACACGACATTTCATTCACACTAGCCTGACAAGATCGTGTTATCTAACATTTTACATGACTTAAACACACTTTTAAAATCATGTCTTATCTTCAATAATCTTAATAAATCTTTTATTTTTTTCTTTGAATATCCATAAAAAATTTAAAATTGTACCCATTTGAACAAACAACTTTTGCTGTTACGTAATAACTATACAGAATCAAATTAAACTTAAAACTTAGGTTTATTATAGATGCAGAACTTGACATTCCTGAAATGTTCATTCATAGAAAAATAAGACTGTACTCATACAAATAGAAACATGAAAATCAAATTTAAATTGTTAACTGATTTTGATGTTGGAGATGCCTTAGATCTGAGTGAACAATTGGTAACTAAGTAATTGAATAAGAACGCTTCTGGAATGCCATGTCTCTGATAATCAGTTTACTTTCGGTTCGAACAGGGGCTGGCTGTCGCAAACAAGGAACTTATTGTGTCATTCTGGCGGCATGTTAACTCTGAAGGTGATTCACTGCTTTACCAATGTAAGCTTTTGCCGTCTGGTTTTGATGAGGATATGTATGCCTTATCTGTGAGATAATCTAAAATATATGTTCTAATTTCAGGCTTACATCAGTTGTCCTCTAGGAATACATATGGTTGGGTTTGTGATGGCATGTTACGGTGCGTCTACGGCAACGTTTGCGTTTGTATTCAGTAGACTGGCAAAATACACTGGGAGATACCTATTGTTTTTCATGGCGTTTGCTACTAATATGGCGTTGTTAGTATTTCTGTATTTTTGGATACCGTCTAACGATAGTCCTGTATTGATATTTACTATACCTACTATTTGGGGAATTGCAGAAAGTATATGGCAGACACAGTCAAGTTGTAAGTAGTCAATTGTAATCGTTATAATACGGGCATTTTTTCTTTCTTCCCTCTTCCCTCCTCTCAGGGCCAGCCACGTTTTCTCAATTTCATAAGAATTTAAAATGGACACAGACGTAATAAAGCGTTTCATTACAGAGAAATACTGTGACTTCCGGTCTTAATCGAGTCGAATCTGATCTTGAGAATGAAGACGTATATCATCTGTAAGGAATCTCATAAGTGAATCGATCAGTTGAAAATATTGCATCAATTATCTAGGATTCTCTGTGCCATGATGTGTAACTTCCGGTTGTATCAAAGTGCTGATGAACATCAAAATAATAGATATATGTTCTGACCATCCAGTTGGTTCTTCTGGCGGAATCAACAAGTTTAGACGCATTTTCTTAGGTTTTCATTTACTGATGTTTCCTTTTTTCAGCATTGATAGCTTTGTTATTTTCTGACAAGAAGGAACCAGCATTCGCCAACTATCATACATGGAAAGCCGTTGGCTTCACGATAACTTTTATATATGGCAGTTTTCTCTGTGTTTCTGTTAAACTGATAATAGCCGCGTCGTTACTGGGTATAGGCTTTGTGCTGTATGTATTTGTGGAGATCAGAATCTACAGGAAAGAAAAGGCTTCATTAAGAGGTCCACCACAGAGATCTTCTTCTGCGTCTTCTTAGAATATCTTGTGAACCCAACACAAACGCAATCGTTCATCCGTGGGTTATATCTCTGGATTTAAGATATAGCACTCAACCTTAACAATTCCAGAACACCTCATATCACCTTGTACCAGAATAATCGGTGATAAGTTTGCAGCTTTTTATCACATCTAAGAAGTTGCTGAATTCAATGCTCAAAATTGTTCAGGGGGTCAAGTTGAAACTGGTGGTACTTCAGATTCTGTAAGTTAAATGGAGTTTGATGGAAACTTACCAACGTTTTCTGAGATAACCCTGTATTGAGTGAAAAACAAACTCTTACGAGTGCTTTTTGTAACAGATACAGAAAATAATGTGTATATTTTACTGGCATAAGACTTATGTGGAAAAGCATCAATAGCTCTGGGATTTTCAGTGTTTTTAATTTTTTAAAGTGCTTTTTGGATACACAAACAAATGCGTATATAACAGTTTCAATTCCGCCTTTTGTGTAGGGTGACAGTGAAAGTTGTGCTATGGCAAATTGGATTCTTTGTTAAGAAATATAATTTTGTTGGATAATATGGTGTGCAAAGACGAAGCGTAAAAGTTCAGTACTACCATAGGGACTGGTTGAATCATATCCACGGGCCCCAACTCCTTAGGAGATTCCCAACCCTAGAAAAAATACAAAGAATGCAGGAGAGCATATGTTAAAAAAAAATCCCTGGGGAGCGGATCCAATCTCATTTAAGTCCACGGACCCCCACTCGTTTTGTTGAGCCATTGCTAAGTTGTGTACAAACGGCGTTAAAATAGTATTCTTTTCTCAAGGAAACCTCAGTGAAAACCTTTTGGCCTCACATTTATAACAGTTTAGGTAATACGTCCGTTATGTCCGTTTTCACATTCATTTCTTCTGAGTAAACCTACATTACTTGTAATACTTATATTTCTGTGGCCTTTATATTTGCCTGTGTTATTCGGTATATATAATAATACATGATATTGTATTGTATTCGGTGCAGTGGTTCTGAAGCACGAGGCACGTTCTTGTAAATTACCATCCTGTGCAGATTTGATGAACTCATGAATATTTCTTTAAGTGTATTAATTGGATTGAAAGGAGGTTTTCTACAGTATTTATGTGTATCGGGGAAACTGATAGCACCAGATTCCAATATCATCTGTGGTTCCTGCAATTCCAGGACGTCATTAAACGCAAAATATGCTTTAGCACTTCGCGATTAGTAATACTATCAGTGTCCACAATACACATTAAAAAATATGAAAACATCTTTCCAACCTTTTTACAAGATTTCGACAATGTGCCTTGTCGAGGAAGGAAGCGAAGTCAACCCAGGGTCGAGAGAAACTAAAATCATAAGCTGACAACTGAACAGATGAAAATTTAAAACTACTGTATTTAGGTTGGTTATTAGTGGTTCTTATCTAAGTTGGCGTGTGCAAGTTTGGAGACCTTCAAGTACCTCGCGTCATTATTTCAGTCGACTCAGCTGTAAATGGGCACAGATAATCCATAAAGAATAATTTTAACAGGTTAAGCAAAGAAACTTAGATGTTATCCCTTTTTTAGGGCCACAATATGACTTGTGATGTTGCATTCGACAACAACCATTGCCGTTGGTTGTACGCAAGCGCAAAAAAACAAAATATTGATAAAGCAGGCACGTTTATAAAGTATTAAGACGCACACAACATGATGAAAAAAATATTTGTAAATATCGTTATCTATTCATTTTGCTTTCATTCGTGGCGCAAAAGACACACCATTTTCGTTCAAAAATTAAGCGAATGGGTTCCCATTGTTATTAGTGGTTGAATTATTTATTGGTTGTAAAATATTTTGTTATATTTGCAGGACGAATAAAAAAAATGTTGTATTTGAATATTGTGTGTTGCTTTCGAGGGACCTTGGCGTGTATCCTGTAGTACACGGAGCTTATGTTTATTAACCTTAAATCCTAAAAAAAAAAACGACTAGACGCTTATTCTGTGCCAGTCCCTCCAGACTGCATCAGTGACCGGGGGAACTGGATTGAAAATCAAAGATATCATCACCTGGGATCGAACCCTAGTCCATCGGATGAACGAGCAAGCATCCCCTGACTATTCATTAGCCGTTGATAATAGGTACTGTTGACTGTTTGGTGTCATAAAACATTTCCAGATAAGCGTCAGCGAGTTTCACACTACTGAATGTTGGCAGTGAAGGTTTACCATGACAATTGTCCCCCTGTCCGTATTTGTACCCTCAGTCTTGAGAATCTGGGGCCTCTACTAGACATTCTAGATGATTGGTTGGATAATATAGAATAAGGTTTCATTATGACGTCACAATAACGTTAGCATCATTTTTAAGTATTTCTGAGAAATATTTAGACGTGTAGCGTTAGTTTACTACAAAAAATACAAGTTTTCATCTTAAACACATCAAAACGAAAATGCAATATATTACTATGCCATTACATTACTGCAACTAAAGCCATACACGGTTGCCCTCCCGGATAGATTACTTGCCGCTCCGAAAAATCAAGTCCGGCTACGGGCCTGATGCGTACAGTATTTCTGTTTACTTGTTGGCAAACTAGCATTTATTTTAGTTCTAATCTATAATGGTAAAGTATAATTGAAACGTAGAAATATAAAAGATGTAAATTTTTAGGATAAATGGGGTGGGGAGTCTATCATCCAATCAGCGTGAAGCATTTTGCAAACCATTATTGATTATGACGTCATAATAACATTAGGTAATAATGCTTTCATAATTCAACAATTCGTTGAAATATTAAGACGCTTAGATTCAATTTACGTGAAATTAGTTCGAAATTTGCACTTTAAAACTGTTTGATACATCAAACATTCAAGTTAGTATCATTATTGTGCTCTACTGTTTGCCAGATGTAACAGATTTACCTAAATTTGTCGTAGCTTTCACCGAATTCACTGGTATTTGTTATTTCATTGATGATTTGATTTTTTGCAGTAATGCGTGATGTAGCAAATACACGTGAACATATCCTGAAACATGGATCATTTGCTGCTCCTGGAGAATTTAATTTGACCAAAAAGAAAAGAGTGGTGAAACTTGACGACAAAGTTACTGTCAAAACTGGAAAAAAGATGCGCCAAATTGTTACACGCGGTAAGTTTTTCATGAGTTAATGCTGGCAACTTTATGGATTTTATAAAATTACAGCCATCAGCTATCACTTTTCATTTTCTGAAAATGTAGACAAACTGGACTTTTTGCCCTAAAAAATCATACCGACAATTCAAATTGAGGTAAACCAGCAATTGCTCAAACAAATTTCTGTTTTAGACGACTTTATCTTTTAAGATGGGAATACATAATAAATTTATGGTAATTATTATTTCAGAAAAGACCTCAAAGAAAACCAAACACTATCCAATAATCAACAATCTAGTTGAACAAGGATGGACTGTTATCAACACCAGTCGTTACCAGATTACAGTGGTCAAACTTCCCGAAGCTGAGACAAAGACAAAAAACACATCGCCTCCAAAGGCTACATCAATGAAGAAAAGCGAAAACAGTTCAGAGAAGAATGACAATCAAGTTGGATTTGGTAAGAGTGTATTTTTTCTTTCAATTCTTACCATGAACAAGGTTTTTAACACATGGTATAGCACACTATCATTAGTTCAATCAGGTGCAGAATAGTAGGACATAATTAACTCGTTCTATTTCCTTCAGATATTTTAATATTGATTCTATTTTTAATATAGGAGTGTCACAACAGGAGAAGAACACTCTATTACGAAGATTTATGAAAAGATCTCAGAGAGTTATTGGGAGATTTTTTATTTGCGGAAAGAAGGAAGATTGAAGAACTAAAATTGGATACAAATGTCTTTCAAACCTTTATGATATATTTTTAGAATTATATATACTGTATACATTAATATTAAAAATATACTTTTATATTTCAAAACTATCTTTTTCATGGAATAACCTTAATTGTAAACAGCATTGCATTTTAAGACCTTGGTGGGTTGTCATCCCGGTCCACGTTCAATGTGTAAGAGTTCTCAATATTTCAGTCAACCCTTTGCAAGTAGAGATGACCAGGGCCAGATCCATGTCACAATCTTAAAAGGACAGGTTCGCCATCCGTTTGACAAATCGTACTTTAGTCTCAGAAACGTAATTTTTATTAGCTAAGCTAATCAGTAATAGTATGCACAATTCGAGTCTTCAAATCCATGTATGTCCAGAATAAAGCTATTTTGGAAGGAATTAAGCTATTTCCGTACATTTCTAGTACTTCTAAATATCATTTCGATATATTCAAAACCCAAATCGAACTTTGAAAATAGCGAATCTTTCCATTCTAGACCTTTGTGCGTTGTGTTCTAGGTTCACGGTCAGTTGAAAGTCTCAGTCAGCTGGGTGCTTAGTAAGTCTGTTGTTCCCCAATATGTACCCCCAGTCTCCTGAGTCTGGCACGCCACTGTGTGGTACACACGATACTGAATATAAATGAATTTATTATAACTAGAAAGTACAGTAAACGAATAAATACGAGAGCAATAATTTAACAACAGCTATCATTATACAAAATACAGAATTTTTTATGACATACGTAGTCATGTGTATCAATGCATCATAAAACCATCTATCAATGCATCAATGTGGGAAAATTACATTACAAGAAAATATGTGTCAATGAAACATTGCGAGAAATTGTATCAATGTTGCATTGCAAGAAATATGACAATATATCAATACATCATTGAAAAGAGCATATATCAATGTAACAAATAAGAAATGTGTCAACAAGTTTTGAAAGAATACCTATGACAAATTAAGGACTGTGCATGGCAACATTACAGTAAAAGGAATGAATTAAGTAACAAATGCATATGAATGTAACACTATAACAAATGTGTATCAATGTAACACTATAACGAATGCATATCAATGCAACACTATAAAGAATGTGTATCAATGCAACACTATAAAGAATGTGTATCAATGCAACACTAACAATAATGCGTATCAAAGCAACACTATAATGAATGCATATCAATGTAACACCAAAAATGATGTGTATCAATGCATCACTATACAGAATGAATGTGTATCAATGTAACACCATCAAGAATGTGTATCAATGAAACATGAAATGTCTAATCTATGGCACAGAGATCAAGAAAAATATCACTTAAGTTTTAAGGCGTAATTCATGTACAAATTATCAAAAAAGTGAAAACCAGAAATATCCTATCCTTCAAGGATAAAGCACAATGAATAAGAAGACAACCTATTGGATAAACAGAATAGAATATTGTACTAAAATAAACTATTAAGGCACTAAAATATAAAATAATAAATAAATAACATAATAAATAATAAAAACACTATGGATGGAATTTGTAAGTTGAGGTAAAGTTGTCAGATAATACTACCCAAATATAAATAGCAATATGATATTTCTACCCTGTTCCTTAATATTTAGTTCTTGTAAGTAATTTATCATTAATAATTTTTGTTCTGAATATTTGACACCAGAAAAATCTGATAACAATAAATGAAAGTATCACAGTTTGTCAGAAAATATTTTGATTTTGAGCACTAGAAGAGATCAGAGAAATGTTACACTTAAAACTTTCGAGTGATGATCTCAAATTGAGCATTGAGTAGTCAGCACATCTAAGAAAGCACCATTGTGATATCATGAAATAGGAAGAACTCAAAGACTTTGTTACAAATGCCAACTCGAGTTTGCACCAATGAAATCATCTATTCCCATACTTTTTTGCAGCATTGATTTGTTTCATTTTTCAGAATTTTTAAGAGAAATCACCTTATCTAGGTGTTAATTTTTCAGCATCCATGAGTTGGTATTGGGCTAGCAAAGCCTCTGAAGTAGCAGATAAAGAGTTCGATGACGCTACAGATGATGATGTGTTTGGACGGCTGCTGTTCTCCATATCATGAGATTGATTGAGTCTTTCAGAATGTAAAGCACTTTGTGTAGTAGAAGTAACATCTGGACTAAATCTGACACTGTTTCTACCCTCAGTGTTGTTCAAAATCCTCTGCTGATTGTCAGGATTAGTGGCAACACTCGTCTGAGTGTCACTTTTAGCATTGGTGTTTAAGTTACCATCATCTCCTTTCTGTGAATTCGACAACATTTTCACCTTTGTTTCTGTGACTTTTTTCTTGCTGGATAACTTTTTACCAGATACCGGCTGCACCCCATTCATATTGGCTTGGTTTCTGGGTGCAAACAGTTGGACATCTTGGTGAGGAGCAATGGCAGATCTGCTGGTACTTCTTATGGATCTGTTGGATGGAAAGTCAGATTGAAGTTCCAGGGAAGATGACAATCTTCTCTGAAAGTATCTACCATCTCTTTCAGTGCAAGGAGCCGAGCTAATGGAACTAATCATGGTTCTAGAAGAATCTGGATAAGATATAAAGGAGCGATCTGTGGACGGTAATGGAGGATATTTGATTGGTTCACCATTATCACTATAATATTGGCTGTTATTAGAAGAACTTTCTGAATGTCTCAAACTTCTTTGTGATTGTCTTGCACTAGCTTGTGGTCCATTATAGATGGTGAAACATAAACAGTTGATGGTATTACAATCAAAATTACATTCTACATCACAGTTTTCACACTGAAAAATAAAAAAAACTGAATTATAGCTGATTATGAAAATTAGCTTTTGTCTGTTAAATACCTTGAAAAAATGCTTTTGAAATTCAAATTTTCTCTGCAGTGTGCTGAAAAAATAATTCTATGTAACATTTTCTATCTTCAGCATAAAATATCTCATTTCATGTTAACTATTTTAAAAATAATTTTGCAGAACTGCAAAACATCATGATTTAAACTATATACAAACATTTCCATTTTACTTTATAACTATACTTTAAAATATAAAGTGACATGTCCCAAAGTTTCTGATTTATAAATTGGCACCTTTTTAATTAATACCACATAATTATGATTAGTATTATTACGATTATTAACAAAGTCAATTATGGATATAAAAAAAAAACATAAACGTAACAGCAAAACAAAAGAAATACAAAAGCATTCAAATAATAACAGTCACATAAAAACAACCAAAGGCTTTGTGTACATGTTGTACATGTGATGCACAATGCTACCTTTAAAGGGAAAATGTCACATGACCAAAATTGTTTGCCTTCAAAGGCTTGATTCAAAATTTTAAACTATTCCATGCAGCAATTAAAACTTACTCTTTTAGGACAACTACATTTTCGTCTTTCTATTCTGATATTCTATGTTTTGAACAAAACAACAATTAGGATGCCTATTATATCCACTGGGCGTGACAAAGTATGTCAATCAAATTTAAGCTACACCCATTGCTATACACAAATAGACTAATTGAGCTATCATTTTGAGTTCGATGAGCAATATAAGCTACACCTAAGTTTGTTTTACTTGTTATTGAAAATTGAACCTGATACAATCATTATGTAATACTTACTCACTTATGATTTATATACTGCCTCATGTGAAAAGTTCAATAGCTGCTACTAATTTTTTGCCAATATGTTTGGATATTGGATTTTGTTTTGCGGTTTGATTTATTTATTATATGGAGAAAGCATATCCGAATACAGCAATATATATGTACACATAGTTACATGTATAGTCATTCCTAAGTCATACAAAACAAAAATGGTCAAAAGATCAAAACAGGTGTCCACAGAAATTTCTATTCCTGTTTACAAAGTAGAATAATAAGTACTTTACTAAACTTACCGAACACCATCCACCTGGTCCAAAACATTTATCACATATGATAATACTAACCCAATCTATTTTCTAGAAAAGAAATAGAAGTACAAATTAAGATTTAACTTGGAAAAAATCTGTCCATCAACAACATAGAACAAGTGACAGGCCCGAAGCTAAAATGGGGGGGGGGGGGGGAGATTAACAAGATTATTGAGCAACCAACAGGATTTTGAACATCAACCTAGTTTTATATTGTCGGCAAAGACTCAATAAGGCTTCATCATCCAATCATACTCACTGACATCACCAATGGCAAACACAATACAACAGACTGGAGATTTTTTGTGTACCAAAAGTCAATGAAACTCTTGACAACACTCTGGTCTGCGACAAAATTCAGCAACAAGAATTGTTTGTGTGCCTCAATCTTTAGTAAGAATTATTTACCTTAGTATCTGATTTACAGCAGCTGTTACAGTTTATACAAGAACATGTTATAATTTTCACTAGAGTAGGGTTACATCCATCTTCTTCATTAAATGGCTATAAAAATACAATTCAGGTTTGCAACTATCATGACATAAGAATTATTCCGTTACTTATTTAAATAATTTTTTAAATTGAATTAATAAATTATCACCGTTAAGAACTTTTAACTGAAGTTGTCACCTATGGTGATAATAATATAATTGATGTAAATGTGATAATCAAATCAACAAATATATCATTGTGATAACTGTCTGTATAAACAGCTTGAACAAAAATAAATAATAATGTCACACTGCTAGAACCTGTGGGCATCAATCTTTACCTGATAACAATATATATTCAAGGATATCTTTGATGAGGGTACATGAGCACGGCTTTCTTTAAAATTATCCTGAACTAAATTTTGTTTTAGAATAATTCAGCTGTAAACTAGGGTGATATTGGTTATTAAAGCTCCTTGATAACAACCATAAGTCACGATATGGCAATATTTCGGTCAGACGATATTACTTACAATATTAATCCTATACAGGTATATATCGTGATACCGGTTTATCGCCCTAGTTTAAACATTCTAATTCAAATTTCATACAACTTGATACTTGAAAATAATACTTACCATACACGAACAGCATGGATCATTTTTATTACCACATATACACTGGAGGTTAGAGCATTGTTTACCACACTGAAATAATATAACATTGACTAATTTACTACAAAAAGCTGAATGTTATTGACAAAAAATGAAATGAATGGAGTTATGCATGTTATTAAGATCAAATACAAATTAAAACTAAATCAGACCTCAAATATAAAAACCTTAGAATCAAAATTCAATTCTTTTCATTCAAAAAATACATCTAATAAGTAAACAAAATATCTGACGATAATATCCAAATAAAAAATTACTCACATAGCATCTTATGAGGGCAAAGATGAGAAACATTACTAAGACATAGAGCCCAACTCCTATACATACTATAGCTGCTATAGGTAGATTATCATCATCTGTAGCACCTGACTGTGGCATTAATGTTTTCTGAAATAAATAAATCAACCATAAATATAATTTGGTCAAAAAAAGAATTTCAACTTATCTACTGTACAGATTTTACACAATTTATTTTGAGACAAAATGCAAATTTGGTTCTAAATGCTTACCAAAGCATTTGTTCCCTTCTTGCCCTAAATTCAACAATTTAAAATAAAAATAAATTCAAATTCTGAAACTTGGTCAATAAGAGTATATATTCATCAGTGGAGTTATCTGGTGCCATGACTATACAAGAGAATCCCTGAATAATGTGACAAATCCTAAAACTTTAACTAAATAAGCTTATTTATTCATTATTGGTCATGTTTGAGAATTCAAATACCATGTCCATTTCCATGAGGTAGAGCAAATAATTCAATGGCATCATTTCATTTACAGTTTCTTTGTGTTAAAATTAGAGAATATGATGTCATCGTATATGCCATGTGTCTCAAGGGGAGAAATAAACACAATCTACCTGAATCCATGGGTTAGTTGTTCCACTAAGGCTCTGAGTACTGGTTGAGCTATTACTATTCATCTTACTGCTATCTTTAGGCACTTCTATAGAGGCCTACTAACACCTTCATTTTAGCCTAAGGATTCAAATGTGAAATCAAAATTAGTTAATAGTTCAAATATTCTGCCAAAGTATGGTTAGATCAAAGACTGCATCTTTTTTCTTTATCAATAAGATGGATCAATAATTTTTCACAAGCAAGGGTTCGCCATATGTTGGGATCTACCTATAACAGTTTGGAAAATACATAACTACTAATTTAAAAACTAACTACAGCTGTCCAACCACTAAACCTTCAGAATCTCATATGAAATATTGATTGTATATCCTACTGATAGATTTTAGAAATGTATAGTTTGATTATTTTAATAGAATAAACACACCTTCCTCCCAGAGATAACATGTCAAAATGACCTAAATTTCCAACTGAAATTTTCTCTCTGTAGACCTGTGCCAGTGCCTTCTATTGAATAGCAACTTGTTACTTTCAATCACACTAATCTCTGTAACTGTAGACCTATATCTTTTTGGGAGTTGATATTTCAATTTATACAAATGTTATTGGCAAAACGCGATTCTGAAAACACTGCATAGTGCATTGTCCACTGCATTGCCTCTCATGTCTATGATGAAGTATGGGTTTGCATTTCTCGGACACCGGTTTCCAACGAACATCAAAAGATATCATCAAATAAAATTACAGGTTAGAATTGTTGTAGACTTTATGGAATAATGTATAAATAATGACAATGTGTCGTCAATGACTTGGAAATTGAGTTATACCTTACTAAAATCTGCTATATTCAACATCTTTTTAAACAAATATCCTCAGGAATCCATTGTGGACTGTCACGTGATATTTGTTGACAGTAAATAAGGAAGGGGGATAATGCATAAGGAAAAAATCAGACAACAAATATTTTTTCAAAATCCATTGTAGGAATTTTATTAATCCATTGCGTTTTAGACTGAGGCATCTGGTTCTGTTACAACCTCTGATAGCTTTTTTGAAAGTTGTCGGCTACTGCAGTCTACAACTTTCAAAATAGCTATCAGAGGTTGGAATAGAGACAGATGTTTCGGACTATTTTCTTTTAAACTTTTCTTACCACAGAGTCTGAAACCCATTTTTTACAAACTAACCCAAATGCTTCTTTTGATTTAAAACGAAAGAGAGAATATTTAGGACCTACATTTGCGCCAAATCTTATATTATTTCAATTTTACGACCCTGCTTCGTGACTTAGCCATACATTCAGCTACTGTTATTTCTTACTTTAGATGTAATAAGCAGAAAGTAATAAAATGAGATAAGAGTGTAAAGTCATTATTTAATCAATAGTCAAAGGATGAAAATGGCAATAAAGTGGCCTTATAGCTACTACAAATCAAAATTCAATGAACTAATTTCAATGGACGGGTTAGGGATATTCACAAAATGATATTGGCTTTTAAAACTGATCATGTAGACTTATCCGATTACAATTCAAAACCATTCAAGTATTCAGAAAATTGAAATTGTTATCTTATGCACATTGTATGCTTTTCCCCGAGTTTTTTTTACGTAATATGTAGGCATAGTGCGAGATCGAGGGTAAATCGATGCCATAAATTTGGTATCTCACATATTTAGAAATCAGTGGTGTAGCTAAAGGGGTGGGGGACAGAAGGGGCAGGTCATGTACCGTATATACATATTATCCGGATTTACGGGAAGCGTATGTTATCATGCCTGGCAAACTGTCTTATTGGCTACTAGAGCCTTAAAGTACATTTTAAGTTCACCTTTATACCTTAATCCCTTAACCACGAATTAATACTTATTTCTAATTTCAAGTGATGTCTATCTCAATAGCCCAATATAAAATCATATGTAGTTCCATCAACAACAGTTGGATTCTGAACTACTTTATGACAGTTCTGATTAAATGTTGTCTTGTTATTGTAGATGTTGTGCTTTCTTGGTTATTTTGGAATCAAAGTTGTCTTTTTGTGGTCTGTATTCGCCTTGAAAACTTGGTGGCCTGGATATGACTAAATGACTACAAAAGATACGGTAACTATTGATATTTAGCCGGACAATATATGGACATTTATTCCTGGATATTTAGGACTGCAAAGGTGTTTACCTGGGTATTACTAAAGTGTGTACTTGGATATCACTATTGTGTTTCGATGGATATTACTGAGGTTTTTACCTAACTATTAATGAAGTGTTTATCGGGATATCGATAAGGTGTTAGCCTGGATATTACAAAGGTATTTATACCTAGAAACTGTTAAGGTTATTATACCGGGATACTGCAGAGTGTTTACAAAGATAGCATACACTAAATATACGGAGTACTGCTTATAAACTGTTTGGATACAACTAAGTGTGTATTTGCCAAGTTACTGTGAACAGTTCTATTTTCATATAAGTTATCATTAACCCTTCAAAATGAAGCTCATTACTATCATTTTCATTTTTACCACAAGTATACGATTGGGCGTTTCGCAACAAAATGAAATGTTATTATTTGCCTGTCGTTTTTTTAATGGTATGTTTGGCGGTAAATGTGCTAAAATTCTATCTCAGGCAGGGACACAATCGGGGTTTAAGACCATAACTGAAGCTTTCATACCAACATCAACCCGAGCACAGTTTACGACAGGTCCAACATCAACACCATCACAGCCTTCGACAGGCTCAACAGTAACAACAGCTCAACCCACGAGAGGTTCAACAAGAACACCAGAACAACCTACGACAGGATTAACAGCAACAACAGCTCAACCTACGGGAGGTTCAACAAGAACACCAGAACAACCTACGACAGGATTAACAGCAACAACAGCTCAACCTACGGGAGGTTCAACAAGAACACCAGAACAACCTACGACAGGATTAACAGCAACATCAGCTCAATCTACGAGAGGTTCAACAAGAACACCAGAACAACCTACGACACAACCACTTCCACCTACACAACCTCTTCCACCGATACAACCACTTCCAACACAACCACTTCCACCTACACAACCTCTTCCACCAATACAACCACTCCCGACACAACCACTTCCACCTACATAACCTCTTCCACCGATACAACCACTTCCAACACAGCCACTTCCACCTACACAACCTCTTCCACCGATACAGCCACTTCCAACACAACCACCTCTACCTACACAACCTCTTCCACCTATACAACCACTTCCAACACAACCACATCCACCTACACAACCTTTTCCACCAACACAACCACTTTCCCCAATACAACCACTTCCACCTTTTCCATAACATACTAATTCACCATCCATAGAAAACGTGTATAAACAACTTATTCTTATCCAACCAACTATAATATTTGAATTCGGAGATCTAGTTTGAAAAGTGAATGTCGCCTACTTGGGATGAAACAAAACGGCAAGTCTCAAGTGAAAGGATATTATAAACTTTTCTGCTGGCAATCTCTTATAGTGTCTAAGAAACCTGTAAAAAGGGAATCTTTGCTTTGTGTAGAAAGATTTGAAACAGACGTTCAAGACTTTGTAGGTGTATCTGTGAAAAGTTTACTTCCTTTTGTATCATTTGGATTTGCAGTCCACCGCTTAGTACCGCCACTCTGAATGACCTGTCGACATGAACTCATCGTATTAAGCACTTTTTGTGCATTGATGCGAAATCAAGGACAACACTTTGAATTATAACATCTCGATCTCAAAATATAAAACCGTATTCAGTTCAGGAAAAATAAACTTACTAGTGTATCCATACCAATTTACTTATTAATTATTACATATTGTTTAATTTATTGAAATAAATATTCAAATTAAAACGCATTGTTAAAGACCCGAAACCGACCCAGTCATCAGTCGGTGGATCCATCGTGTCCAAACCACACCCCCATTGGTCATACTTCCTCGGCGTTACCAAGACCGTGCGCGGACATTACGCACCCAGATAATTCCCGCCCGGACACTTCCCGCCCAGCCAATTGTCATCAGGACATTTCGCACCAGGACTATTCACATCAGCACAACTTCCACCCGAGACATTTCGCACCCGGGCACTTTGCACCCAGGACAAATTTCACCTAGGACAATTTCCCACCGCGACATTTCGCACCCGGGCACTTTGCACCCAGGACAAATTCCACCTAGGAAAACTTCCACCCGAGACATTTCACACCCGGATACTTCACACCAGGACGATTCACATCCAGGAAAACTGCCATCCGGAAATTTCGCACCCGGGCAGTTCGCACCCAATTTTTGCTCCCATTATAAAAATATTAAAAACATAGGGCATGAATTGATAGAAGAAGAAAAAAGTTATGATTGTGGTGAATATTTGATGCGAATAGCTTGTAATGGCTCTTTGATGGCGTACATGTTTACTAACTAAATTGTTACTGTTTTCAGAATTTATCTTCAATATAGGCGTATGCCCTGTGCTATATTTTGTTTATTCGTCGGAAAAAAAAGTTCAAAGGATAAAGGAAAGTGAAATGTGCAGTATCCGTTTCTTCGTGGCCTTCTTCGCGGCCTTCTTCGCAGGGTTCTTCGAGGCAAGATGCAGGGTTCTTCGATCCTTTTTTAACGGTAAGTGTCACGAATGTTCAGAGTTCCAAATTTTCAAGCCGGGGAAATCGTGCATGGAATTCAATAATAAGAATGATTAAATTCAATTAAAATATAATTGCAACTTATGACTCCGACACATAATTTCAAAAAATAGATTTGATTCTTTAATGAGAATTCAATAGTAATTACTTAACTATTAGAGACTATACAGATTTATAGTTTAATCTTCATTGTGCCTAAGAAAGCGTTTTTCCTTTATGTTAAATGTATATTGGTGTGTAAAGAGGGACACTCTTTTGAAATAAACGTTAATTTCAATCTTTGAGATTGATTTCAGGTTTATTTTTAAAGTCTCAGCATAGTCAAAGCAGATTTTGCAAATTTGAAAAGTAGATAAATTCTCGCCAAAAGGTCCCAAACGGCAGCCAGTCATACTTTGAGACAGATTATGGCCCATTTTAATACTTTTCGTTAAAACCCCATTGCACACAGTTAGTGTAAGAGATATTGGAGCGTAGTCACTTAGCAAAACTAATACCCTGAGGCCCGTTCCAGTAAAATTCGTAGGTACAAAATTATGCGGAACTTCCATAGATACCATAGCTTACCATGGCAACTCCCATGATTTTGTACTTACGAATTTTATTGGAATGGGCCCCTTGTACATTGTTGTTTGTGTGAGAGACAGGAATGCGGTTCTTATGGGTGGAAATTGTCATGGGTGCTCTCTGTTTTTAATTTTTATAATGGGAGCAAAAATTGGGTGCGAACTGCCCCCGGAAATTTCCGGATGGCAGTTTTCCTGGATGTGAATCGTCCTGGTGTGAAGTATCCGGATGTGTTCAGTGTCTCAGTTTTCCTAGGTGGAATTTGTCCTGGGTGCAAAGTGCCCGGGTGCGAAATGTCGCGGTGGGAAATTGACCTAGGTGGAATTTGTCCTGGGTGCAAAGTGCCCGGGTGCGAAATGTCTCGGGTGGAAGTTGTCCTGATGTGAATAGTCCTGGTGCGAAATGTCCTGATGGCAATTGGCTGAGCGGGAAGTGTCCGGGCGGGAATTATCTGGGTGCGTAATGCCCTACTACCAATAAGACATAAGACTTATTCGGGATACGATGTCGATGGATCTTAAACCTGCATTACGAAATAGTGGCATTATTTCAATGCAATCTAATGTAAATAAGTATTTAGATAACAATGTTATTAAATGTTTCCAGGACATGTTATATGGCTTTTGAATCAGTGATATCTGTAAAAATAACTTTCCATTTTGGTTTGGTTCAATAGGCTTAAAACCGTTAATACAGACTTAATGCAGTACGTGATACAAAATAAACACCATTAAATATTTTTTAACATTGACATGGTTATATATCCATTTAGTAAACGTTTCCGATATAACAATAGTACCAGTAATTCACTGATATTTACTGAGTAGATGTTTCATTAGATCTGAAATTGGCATGGAACAATTGATAGCATTTTGTTAATTTGTCATTTGTCTTAAATAAACAACCGATATTGATTAAGGTAAATCAGTGGATAAAGTAATGAGATAATTTCTCATACACTGTGACATAAATAACAAGATGAAGCTTCTGAAAGAAGCATCCCAGACGTTCGATGGCATTGCCAAGAACAATGATTGCAAAAATGCTGAACACAAATCGTTCGAACCATGTAATAATTTGAAACCGATACTGTATTCATCAGCTATCTTCGGATTAAAATGTCCATTGGAATTTTCTAAGAAAACAGCAGTTTTGTGTATTTTATATTGGTTGGTGCTCCTGAGTCCGGCCGTGTTCACCGCTTATAAGGTCGTTGTGTGCCTGGCAGGGGCCGATGTTGTTATGGACGATTCAAATCTGCCTCTCTATATCCTTATGTTATTTGGGTTTGGAATATCTCCATTTTGTGTCTCCTTTGGAACATTTTACATCCCGGGTCGTTTTAAGAAATTTGAGGCAACATTAGACGAGATGACTCTGGACAGACGATTTGAACAAAGCTTTGATGACGTCAAAAAGAAATCGAAGGTAATACTCGGTGTGGCTGTATCAATATTTGTGGCGTTCTTGTTTCCTGCTATGACTTCTGGGCCACCATTTTCTAATGATTACCCTTGCTTCACATCTCCTTTCAATTGGACATCACCGTACATGGAGATACAAAATGTTGTGTCAAGTACGTACAGTCTCTTTCTATATTGTAAGCGACTTTCTATTTATGGATTTATGTACATAGTCTGCTCTATCGTAAAGAAGGAATTTTTGAAATTTGACGTAGAATTCCGTAAGATGCTTGAATCGGAACCTTCCAAAAAAAACATAAAATATTTTCAGAGGAAGTATTTCCTGATTTGCAGACATCTGAAAGAGGCGGATTGTGTTTTATGTCCATTCGTTACCTTGTTGCTATCTGTATTGATACCTACATTTTGTCTATTAATGCGTACAGTTATTTATGGTAATTTTTCAATGAATTATATGGTTGCTTACATTGTTCACATGCCATTGTTATTGATAGAAATCGGTTACATTGTGATTCAGGGAACCATGATCCATAGTGCAGTAAGTAGACTTTTGATAGAATTATTTTGTGCAAAGTATTAACCATTTGAAATGTTTTAATCAACAATGATACTTAGTATAAATGAAAGCATCAACTCACATGGCCTTGATGAACGATCTTCCAATACTGAAACATGCCGTTTTAGGTTATTTGGTATTGCAAAGCAATAGTTTGTCAAGGAACTTCAAATGATATAATATGAAACTGTAGCCCAACATTTTTTCGTTTCCAGTCTAAGCGATGTCTTGAGGTTATCCATGATCTTGATGGCAACAAAATGAACGTGAAGTCAATAGCCCTTGTAAGTACGAAATAACTGTATAAGCATCAGCTGTTCTTGTCAAACCAAATGGCTTCTTGAGCGCTTTGATGCCGGTCAATGCAACATTTAACGACATATATTCATGATTCCATCTGGTTATTCCACCGAGCTGTTTCTGTGGAAACTGGCGATTACAGCCCAACATAGCCCTCAACTAGTAGTTACATGCGCAACCTTAAGGGCATTGATTTCTCTATCGTAAATCTAATCAAAACTCTTCAGTTTCAAACTTCTGTGATACAAGAAAGGTGCCTTTTGATGTCAAGGTATTAGACGGGGTTTGAAATACATTGAGAAGATGAATGAGATATAAAAGAACAACCCTTTTTAATTCAGATCACGCTGTTTGCTGATAATGTGAGACATTCAGAACACGGACTTAGTTTTATGAAACTGTTTTTACTCAACAATTCGGTGATTATAACCGTAAGTATAAACGCTGCCTTGTAATTATACATTCGACCATCCTCGACAGTTTCCGTAAAGATGATATTTCGGCGGTAATGAATGGTAGATTTTGTTGTGTCTTCTTGGACGAGACTTTATAGTTCCGAAATTTCATAATTATTTGTTAAGTGATGATAATATCCTGATTATAGTTCCGAATCTTAACAGCTATTTTTATTATTATTATAGCCTAAAAGAGCCTAATTTAGTCAAATTCTGTTTTTGTAGTTAATTGGTACTATAGTAAGTCAAATTCTGTTTTTGTAGATAATTGGTACTATAGTAAGTCAAATTCTGTTTTTGTAGATAATTGGTACTATAGTAAGTCAAATTCTGTTTTTGTAGTTAATTGGTACTATAGTAAGTCAAATTCTGTTTTTGTAGTTAATTGGTACTATAGTAAGTCAAATTCTGTTTTTGTAGATAATTGGTACTATAGTAAGTCAAATTCTGTTTTTGTAGATAATTGGTACTATAGTAAGTCAAATTCTGTTTTTGTAGATAATTGGTACTATAGTAAGTCAAATTCTGTTTTTGTAGATAATTGGTACTATAGTAAGTCAAATTCTGTTTTTGTAGATAATTGGTACTATAATATCCTATACAGTTGTCATCATGCAGCTTCAATTCTGAACAAAAAACAAAACATTAGTCCAACTTTAAAATGCCTGTTCACATTTCTAAGGGATCTGTTAAAGTCAAGCTGACGGATGAAGAAGCCTTAATACGATAAAGGTAGACTGACAATCGGCAAATAGATTAATCAGCAGCGGAAAGAATGAAATGTTTCTGTCATGAACCAACCAGGAACGTTTATGCCTAAAATGTCACATTGTATTTTCTAGTATTATGTCTTGTCCATGAGTATTAAAGCAGTGTGCCATTGTGACTTCATCGGGCTGCCCCAGGATTTAAATTTGTCTTATATTATGTTTGAATTTGTTCACCCCCTCCTCCCTTCTTCGAATCAACACTCCACAACACGCTGAAATACTTTGGTCCATATATATACATACAATTACCCCATTGGGGTACCTGAAAAGTATTCAGTTGCTTTGATAGTATTAAATGCAATAAACTGTAGACTATAGTATTCATTGAGATTTAAGTAAAGCTATAAGGATTATGATTGATTTTTACTTTCACGATAGTATATCCTATGAATAGAAACCCCATTTTGGGACGTCTTAACATCTGCTTCATATTTGAAAAGAATCAATCAATGAAAATACCGTACTGTTTTAAGTTAATAGCTAATAAAGTGTTATATTTCATTTTGTAATGCATGTTACCAATTTTATCAGCTGAAGTCATCGCAAAATGCAGTTTGTAGTGGAAAATTCTGCTTAGATCACAGATGATGTTTACTTATCTTCTAATTTTTGGATCGTAGACGTAGGCGAACCTCGCATGTTAAGATCATCTTCATACCTTTAGCTATTTTACCTTTAATGCAATGACTGACTTTCTTGTTTCACGGTCAGCGATTTTATTGAATTGTATAAGAAACAAGAAAAAAGTGGGTCATTGCAGTCAAGATATAAGATGAAGACGTAATAACTTGACTATTGTGAACATGTGTTAGGATTGATGTCTGCTTTCAATAAATTATATGTGCAATGTAAGAGTTTCAGCGAACGGAAGTGAAATTTTTTTTAACCTGCGCGTGAGAAAAACTCTTGATTTCAGGAGATTACAGATTCAACTGATCATGCGTGAATCACGTGGAGTACTCACCTTTTGTTAAAGCGAAAAACTATTGAACAAACCTCATTGGAATTGTGCTGATCAAAATTCAAAAGAATATTTTTACAGTATATACGGTAATGATTTTGAATGATTTTAATACTTAACACGTGTCGCACACTCTCGTCTCGTAGAACATCTTAAGAAATATCAAATAGCCATTTATCAGCTGACAGAACTCTACGATTGCTGGCAAGACAACATGAAAATCCAAAGCGTAGTATTGTTTGCAATGGTAATAAGCGTTGCCATGTCTGGTCGGATAAAGAAAGGGGAACTTCACGTAAGTAACCGTAGTTTTATTTTATTAGCACAGGAGGAGGGCGAAACAGAAACAGTGCCAAATAGTTGGAGGGATATAGATGGAATTTATTGAAGATTTAAAAGAACTGATACACTTGATAACGGTCAGTGAACTGAATCATTGGACTGTTCTTTTACTTCTACTTCTACGTCACCAATCATGTACGTACCAATCACAGAAAAATTTCTTCAGTTCTATGTATTCTGGGGTTTGGGTTAGGAAAGGTTACCACCCTGTAACCTTTGTGTTAATGTTCTTGAATTGATCAATGCATATCACTTTTTCAGATAAAACAGAACTGATCTTTTAAGAGAATTTTCCCGGAACTGAAGAAGTTTGCGGATGAAATTCAACTATAGTATCCTTTGAAAATTAATATTGCTTGAATTAAACACTACTGATCCACGAAATACGGAGTGTTGTCAGTGCAAAAGAAATTATTGTGACCTTATTATTAAAAAAAAGAAGAAACTAAATTATGTCCCCAATGGGTCACCATAGAAGAACAAATAATCAACTTAAATTTGAGAAAATGACAGGGATCCGTATAACATATTGATTCTGTGCTTAAAGGGGGGATTACTTTCCTTGACCAATTAAAGTTATCCCAGTTTGTCGATAACTAACTATAACGATGCGCAGAAACCTCATCTTAGGTTTTATGATGAAGATAATGTCTACTTTTATGTAAGTATTTTGGTAATATTAATGGAATTTTCAAAGAAAACATTGGTAGAAAACATTGTGTCACCGTTAGAAAATTTTGAAAATTTGAATGAAAGTAGACCACTACATTTTATCCACATTGGCTTGACTGTCAATGCACACAAAACGAGTATTTTTAGAAATATTCATGAAAATCTCTCATCATCTCAAAAAGTCTGAAAGAAAATGCAATTTCAGACATCAAATTCCAAATCTAGACCAAAAATAAGTCAAAAATCGACATGCAAAACCCCCAAAAGGGAGGGAGAAAGAGGATTTCTAAAAATAACATGCATCAAATTAATTACTGGAGTGGGTCCTTAAATTGGGAACGTGATATTTATTTGATTCTTTGTTTGCCTATCTAACTAACATCGTCGACCATTCCTACACATTCAATCCATTGTATCAAAATGTATGATCTTGTGCATATTTATTTATTTATATTCCAGAGACTCAATGTCGAAACTGTGAAATATGATGAATTGGTCGAACTTCTTGAAGAACTGGGATTTTACAAAAAGTCAGCTCACCTTGACCAAGTTCCAGAAGAGTATAAAATGGGACCAGTGGCGCCACCAAGTGGAATCTCGTACGACGATTTAGTTGCCGGGAACTTCAAATTGGCACATCTTGGTTCTGTGCAGTCAGAAAAACAGACTCAACCTGTACATGATGAAATTTAATTGATGATAATTCATTAGGCTACTAAACAAATCCATATAAATTAGTTCTAGGCTACGATTCGGGATTTGTGACGTCATAAACCGCTAATAAAGACATAACTGATTTTGTTGCTTCACAAGTTGATATTTTTGCAATATATTTGTTATACTGACATAATTTGGCAAAATATTTTGCAAGATGATAATATTTATCCTTTAATGACGTCACAAATCCCGTATTTTGCTTCTTTTTTTTTCTTGTATTATTATAATACTGATATAATGTTATTATATTAATATTGGATGATATTAATTGTTGAAACAGTATTATACTGAGATAATTGATTGATGGTATTGTATTATTTACTAACATTATAATATTATTATAATTATACGGAAGAATAAAAATGTTGATATTATGATACGGTGAAATATATACTAGGACCGTTTGCAGTGCCGGCGCCAGCCTCCCAAGACTGGGGTTACAAATAAGGGGCAACCTGACTTTGAGATATTACCTATAGGATTGGGTCCGAGGGACTGACATGGAAAAGGCAATTAGTTCGGATGGAACAGCCCGAGATGACATTTACTACAGTCAGTGCATGTGACGGTTGAAAATCAAAAACTATAGTAGGCTAGAATAGACATCGCTATCCTGCTAAAATTTGCTCCATTGCACACTACATAAGCTGTGTCGTTTTCATCAGTTGCAGAGAAGCAGGACGCAAAATTTCATTGGATCAGCCTGAAGTCTATTTGTATAATAATGTTCCAAAGAGCTGTTAGCAAAAATATCAACCCATTAAAGGGAGATAACAAATTTTTTCGGTACCACGTTTAAATAATTGATTCTGATCACCAAGTTTATTAAAGGGAAAATTTATACCGGTATAAAAAGCCACACTTATATTGATCGTCCAACTTCTATATTCAAGTCGGGAATTTCAAGAATTTTGTATATGTGCTAGTTATAAGAAATATACGTTATATATATATATACAACAAACAATATAGCAGAAGTTACCAATATCGTCATAAACGAACTAGATCGTTACATTCTTGTAATATTTGCAGCAGACGTTGGAAGCCGAGAGAGCAGACGAATCAACGCATGTCACTTTGCCCTCTATACATGCATTCAGACGTTTATCTTAGGCTTCATTGTTTCGATTCTACAATAATTTAGAGGTTTTGAAGGTAAGAGATTTTGTTGTTTTGGTATGACAACTTTGTGGTACCCTTGGAGAAGCTATACAGCAGGGAATGGTGTCCCTAATATGCAAATTTGTGCAAAACTGATTAAATTTAGCCCAACCACCAGTTAATAAAGAGTTAGTTAAGTAAATTCCTAGTAAATGAGTAATAGTAGTAAAGTTGTTTATATCATGCTGATGTAGAAAGGTTATATCACCCTGATATCAAACCTTTTAATTATTTGACCCAGGACAAGATAATTAATCAAGGTCAGGATTTTATATTATTGGTTCTCATCAATATTTTTGTTTTAAAGCGCTATTGACATTATTTTTGTTTCGTTAACGAAGATATATGCAATTATTTTGATATCATGCTCATAAGCGAAGGATTTGGGATGTGGTGGGGGGGGGGGGGGGGGGGGGATAGGGGGTATGTACTCAAATTTGTGTCAAACTGAAACCACATGACCATCGTATCAGTTCAGTTCTGTACAGTTATAACGAAAGAGATTAGCCTTTTTTTTACTTTTTACAATCTATATTTACTTTTTATTCGGCGTTAGAGAGACAGATTGGCCATTTTCAGGGGTGGATTTGGGTCTTGAATATATAATGTATATATTATAGGCCTAGTCTTCAGAAGTACTAGATCTAGTACTAGAACTGTACGAAGATCGAGTAATCGGTTTAAATATACATCCAACTAGAAATTTCACTTTCTATTTCTATATAGGACTTTTCAATATGGCAGAGTCTCAAGAAGAGACGAGTCGTCATTTTAACTTTCAAACGCAGATAATTCTGGACACGCATGGATTTGAAGGCTCAAATTTCGACTCAGCTGAGAACAATATTACTGATTGGCTTAACTGAAAAAAATCCTGTTTCTGAGACTACAGTGCGAATGATCAAACGGATGGCGATCCCTTCCCTTTAGATTTGTTTAATGTCAAATATATTTCCAAAAACTTAAATATTCGATACCATTATCCTCATTACATACGAACCTCCTGGGTGTTGTCAACTTGTCGACTTTATCGCCAATAATTTCTATGATTTCTGTGAAAATCCAATTTGCTTCATGTTCAATGATTGACAACCCAAGCAAATCGATTTAAAAGTCAAGAAATCTTTTAATACAAAGTTGTTGGTTGGATTATGGTAACCATCATACGATAAGTTCGGTGCAGATCCGCTTAATATTTCGACAACTAGTCAACTAGTTGCACAAAGGTTTACTTTGTCGCCCATAAAACATTATTTTTTTAAAACTTAAAATGATCTGCTATGTCCCTTAATTAATGAAGAAGGGTGGCGCCGTGACGTAGTGTATGTACTACAACATACATAAGGGGGGGGGGGGGGGGGGGGGGCATCATTTGTGCAACAATTAAAGTAAAGGATCCCCAACTGCAGTTTGTAATGTTGACAACCTTGTCTTTTAGTTTACGTTACTATCATATGTAGTCCTAATACCTTTTAGGATGAAGTCTAGTTCTTATACTAAAAATAAACTTAATTTCGTATTCAAATCATATTACAGAAGAATCCATCTTAAAACAAAGTTATCGATTTCATGGCGGTTTTATTTGACTTGACACTAAAATCAAAATTAATTGTGTTTTATTGTCCTCTGGTGTTGTGGCCTATCTCAGAGGAAATAAGATTATACCAAGAGATATAATGTGTGTCTATATATTATACTAATATCAATCGATATATTATAAGTTAAAGGGATTGTAAAGTGGTTTTCTTAACTTTCTATGTGTATCTGGGTCACTGAGAGCATCCATTTGTGTAATTACAATTTTATGACAGACGTCTGTGAACGGTTCTTGCAATTCCACGAAAACTATCTTTACTATCGCAAAGGCTGTTAATATTATTGGCGTTATTAGTTTTAAGTGGAATTGCAAGAACTAAAGACCTTTGATTGAAAATTAGAATGGTGAAAATCGATACCACCAGTCTCCTTCATACGTGTTTAAAGTTTAGAAAACTTTTTTGTGATATCAATGACGTAGGAAACGTATGCTCGAAAGTGGGTACCAAGAGAATAATGTAGATGATGGTTGGTTTACGCCTACCGTGACATTCGGTTACATTCGAATATCTAGTTTGCAAACCAACCAAGGTCAATAAATTCTCTGTAGTATCAACATACATAATTATCAACAATATATGAAATTATCCTGTCCAACGAGCATATACAGATAAGTTGTCTAGGGGTGTCGGGGTAAACATCATCTTCACAATGTCAAGCTATTGCAAACTTCGTAACAGCTTTTGACATTGTGAAGATGGGGTGAAGGTGGATTTAGAATGCCACAAATTAACGGAACATAATAGAGATGTCGAATTTTCCATCTGCTACAACTGGTATCTGGAAGTCTACAAGTCAATCAATCGTATCGTGCAGTGGCCCTTGTGTTTTGGGGAGTTCTGTAGCACAGTATGTTAGAGTGTTCATTCTTTACATAACGTCAGTTGCTTGGGCACCTCAAAAAAATGTGGTCATGGTTTCTAATCTCGATCGGCTTGTGAAAGTACGATGGCCTTGAAAAAGTCATCTTCAATCCGAAAAAGATTAGTGCAAAGATGCATATCCTTGTGAGATATATTTAATTCTGTCTTTCTTTGTCCCACTTTGATAAACCTGAATATTCATTGGCCTACTATCAGTTTCGGGTTTGAGAAAATTTGAAATCAATTCTCAAACGATATAGTTTATTTATGATAACAATATTGATCTATGGTTTATATACAGCAATATACACAAATATTTCCAAAAATAGCAGGAATACGTGATTCTCTAGACAGAGCAGAAATTGAGCCTGATCTAATAAGCACTGTTTAAAGTTTAAGTTTGTGAGTGACTGTATATAGGCTAATTATCTTGAAAGCTAGACACTTTCAAACATAGGAATTTATTTCTAATCTTGGTTGGATCATCTCATGATTTTACGTTAAATGGGATCAGTGATGGTTCAAAGTATAGTCCGAAAGCCAGTACTTCCCATTACCAATCAAAGGCAGGGATATGTATTTTGGTAAAAAAAATGTAAAATTAATCTGGTCCAGCTCACTTTTCATTAAATAAATAGAACGCCATGTAATAACATACAAACATTTCATAAGTAATGCGGATAGTCCATGTTTTCATTAATTTTGACATGCATTCCAATAACTGGAAACTTAGACTACTACAACTTCTCAATAACGTTGTTTTTAAATTGAATGCTGGGAATTCATTTTGAAAAGTGATATGGATAGCTGAAAAAAAGGCAAACAGTTCGTTCGGTTTATCTCCGAATATTGACACAACTTCTCAATTACGATTGTAGACGAGCCAAACGTTGGGAATTTCTTTCGAAAGGTGATATGTAAAGCAGATAAATAAAATAACTATATGACTTGGCTGGGTATATCGACGACTCCAGGACATTCTAAACTGCTGCCACTTCTCCATTTTGATTGTAGACCAACCAAACGCTGGGAATTTCTATTGAAAAGCTAAAATAAAACGATCGAGGATTACATCCCTTGGCTGGATACATTTTCGATATGAAATTACCACCGGGTTTTATGTGTATCAACTCAGTTGATCAAGTAGCATACATTACTATGTCTGACAACCTAATTTCTTAATTGAATATTATCCAACTATTCAGGAAATTATCAAATTTATGTGATGTCGGTAACGTGTTACCTGATTCATTATACCTCTATCTTGATATACAAACGTATCGATAGATTGTACGTGGCTTAGGTTTCAGGTTAATGGCAAAACTCCAAAATTGAACTATAAAGCAGGGTATACACTTGTTTAACAACACACCAAACTAAGACGATAAATGACCATGTGTACACTAACAGTGGCGTAGCTAGGATTTCATTGACTGGGGGTGGGGCCCCCTTTGTTGAGGTCACAAGACATGGTAGGGCTTGCCCCTTGACAATTTTCTAATCTAGGAAGGCGAAGATGCATAAAGTGTTTAGGAACCTGCTGTAAATATGCTGCCGATGTATACAGGCCTTAACCCTGTTAACAATTTACTGTGTGAAATACATTATAATAGCTAACTGGGATGATAGAATATTAATAGAGCTATTAAACAACAACTCTTATTTCCATGATGAACATGATACATATATTTCTATTGGATGGCGTAGACCAATGACATTCAATATGCTCCAAAGGCAAAAATTTGTTAAGATCCCTTTACTAACCCCTCGCCTGTTATTTTACAGAGCTTAAAACGTAAGTTGTATAACAACCAATGTGATTTATTCATTAGATAACAAATCATAACAATATAACAAAAATTGATTTATGATCTGGTGTATTCCGACTATATATAAATAATATAATGGTATAACGGTGCAGTAGCTTGAAGCGGCCATGTGATAATAAGTTGCAACCATGAACATGTGATAATATGTTATATGAACATATGATAATAAGTTGTAACCAAGAACATGTGATAATTAATAAGTTGTGACCATGAACATGTGATAATTAATAAGTTGTGACCATGAACATGTGATAATCTGTTGTATGAAGATTGATAATAATTTGTATGAACATGTGATTATAAGTTGTGATCATGAACATGTGATAATAAGTTGCAACCATAAACATGTGATAATGTGTTATATGAACATATGATAATAAGTTGTGACCAAGAACATGTGATAATTAATAAGCTGTGACCATGAACATGTGATAATTAATAAGTTGTGACCATGAACATGTGATAATTAATAAGTTGTGACCATGAACATGTGATAATCTGTTGTATGAAGATTGATAATAATTTGTATGAACATGTGATTATAAGTTGTGATCATGAACATGTGATAATAAGTTGCAACCATAAACATGTGATAATGTGTTATATGAACAAATGATAATAAGTTGTGACCAAGAACATGTGATAATTAATAAGTTGTGACCATGAACATGTGATAATTAATAAGTTGTGACCATGAACATGTGATAATTAATAAGTTGTGACCATGGACATGTGATAATCTGTTGTATGAAGATTGATAATAATTTGTATGAACATGTGATTATAAGTTGTGATCATGAACATGTGATTATAAGTTGTGATCATGAACATGTGATAATAAGTTGCAACCATAAACATGTGATAATGTGTTATATGAACATATGATAATAAGTTGTGACCAAGAACATGTGATAATTAATAAGTTGTGACCATGAACATGTGATAATTAATAAGTTGTGACCATAAACATGTGATAATTAATAAGTTGTGACCATGAACATGTGATAATCTGTTGTATGAAGATTGATAATAATTTGTATGAACATGTGATTATAAGTTGTGATCATGAACATGTGATAATAAGTTGCAACCATAAACATGTGATAATGTGTTATATGAACATATGATAATAAGTTGTGACCAAGAACATGTGATAATTAATAAGTTGTGACCATGAACATGTGATAATTAATAAGTTGTGACCAAGAACATGTGATAATTAATAAGTTGTGACCATGAACATGTGATAATCTGTTGTATGAAGATTGATAATAATTTGTATGAACATGTGATGATAAGTTGTTTGAACATGTGATAATAAGTTGTACATTGTGACAATAGTATGTGATGATAAGTTGCGGTCATGAACATGTGTGTTAATAAGTTGCGGTCATGAATATTAGTTGATTATAAGTTGTGATCATGAACATGTGATTATAAGTTGTGATCATGAACATGTGATTATAAGTTGTGCCCATGAACATGTGTGATAATAAGTTGTAATTGTGACCATGAACACGTGTGATAATAAGTTGTGACCATGAGACAACTTTGTATGGTGTCCAGTCACAATGAAAAAAAACGACGGGATTATATAAAAGCATATCTTGATGATCATCTTACGTAGATTTACTGAAATATCTGACAAAACGAACGATATTCTTTCGTGAGTTTTGTGTGGAAAGGGAGATAAGTGGTATATGCTTGTATGTATTTTACTGTGACTAACGGATTACAAAACAGCTAAGTAGTGTTCATTCGTATAGTGTGTGAAGGAAAGGATGTAAAGTCCGGACCAGGGCGACTGCCAAATGACATTAGTTTTGGCGTCGTAAATTCTCTTACTCATAGGCGGTTCTCTAACCTATTAGGCTGTTACGGTCACAGGCGATATACCGACTCGCTACTGACCTTGAATCTTTGAATCCCGTCAACAAATGAAATGATGTTATTCATCCTACGTTTCTGCCCCAATCAAGACGGGCAACAGCATTTAGTGTGCATTGAGGGAAATTTGGACAGCGGCATTACAAAGCTTTCTCTATTACTCCGTTTCCAACCGTCGAGGAATCTTTTAGAGGCTCAGCCTGTAGCATACGAAGACTCGGCTAATTGTCCGATCCGGACGACCAGAGGCTTTTTCCATGCCCCCCCCCCCCCTTTTTTTTTTACACGCGCACACACTTCACGTGGTTGACTTTCTTATTCGACTCATTTTCAACAACAAACACCGTCTGAATTTACATTGAAAACAGACAGTGTGTCAATATTGATATAATTCATTTCTACACTTCTATTTACTCTAACAATCAATTCAAAATTTATGAAAGATAGTGTGGGATTATAACAAAAATTGTGTCATGGTTAAGCTAATATCGTTATTACTTTTTGATCTGTCCAAAAGTCGTTTCGTTCACATTGATAAATGGCTTTTTTGACAAACGTAAAGATAGTCCGACATTTAAAGTGCATATGATCTTACACTTAGATGATAATGGACGTTGATGAAGTTGATAATGAGCGATGCGATAATGGCGACGATGATTGATTATGGATCATGACTGCTGCTACTGCTACTAGCAATAGATACTGGTGCTTTACGCAGCTGCTATTGTTGATGGAGGTGTTGCTGTTGCTGTTGATAATGATGGTACTGGTGTTGATGGAGATGTGGCTGATACTGAAATGATGCTGATGCTAGTGGTGCTGTTGCTGCTGATGTTGATGCTGCTTTTGTTGAGGTGGTGCTATACTGATGATAATTATGGTGACCATTTCATGCAGCCTTCAGTCGGTTGTAGCCAAAATGAAGAAATGTCTAAAAGGGAAAGTTTAAAACTAATTCAAAATCAAAAAGACTTCAGTAATATAAGATACTAATTTTGAATTGTGATATGAAATAGTATCTACAGTTGACTATTTCCACAACATTTTTCCTTCAGCATATTACAAGAGTATAAAAGGATATGTTAGCAAATGAAATAGATTTTAAAATTCAATGAGTAATTACCTAGAAGAGATTTGTATAGTAATATACAAAGTAAATAAATGTCTTTCATATTGGTTTAGTTCTCATGATCTGCGGCGAAACCTCAAACATTGAGTATTGCATTGACTACGAACGGTATGTAAATATTACTATTACTATACCTAACGACACATTCAAATCTTATTCAAGATATTGTCAGATCGAGTCAAACATTCGTTCAAGGTTATACAAATAATATTACACAATTGTATTGTTCTTTGGGTCCAAAAGTCATGTCATCGGCTATGAGTCATTGTCATTTTTTTTATAGATGTGTTATTGATAAGTTGAAAGGAACGATTAAATGAAATAAAATTTTACCCTTCTTGTCCTCCTTATGACAACGCCAGGCATTTTAGCTTTTTTTTTTTCATTTTCTGTCTGTCTGTCTAAATATGCAGAACTTGGCGTATTTTATTTATTTGTACCCTATCCTATAGCTTTAATATCTCCAAATTAAGTTTCGGAAGTTCTTGGTACCAAGAAATTTGATACAGGACCGACTGGTAGACAGGACCTTTGCAAACCTAAGTAGTATCCTGGAAATTACTGGTATTCTTTCATATCTTTTTTCTTATAATACTCATTGGTGGTTTTCAGATTCAGATTCAGATTCCCGTTTCAGTTTTTGACACAATTTCTTAGAAAAGGATCCATAAACAACGTCGGTTAAAAGACTTTGGTAGGCTACTAGAACTACGCAATAGCTAGGTTGTCATTTCCGGTTTAGTTTCAATTTGAAAATTCTTCACAGAAATGGTACTGAAATTTCAAAAGCGACGATTGTGTGTCAATAAAACCTTAAAGCCAATATAAAAGCCCCCTTGTTCATTTCTGAAAATTCCAATGTTGTATCCCTTTAATTATAGATAACAATGAGAAGTGTTGGTATTTGGAGTTGGTACATCTGTTAGTACTAATTAATGATAATAGAATACTAGTATAGTGACTTATACGATATACTAGTAGTTATACTAATTCATAGAGTATGTCAGGAATGTGGTAAATTATATTAAATACACACTTTAATATTTTATGTTTAAAGTCAATTTTTGATCAGCTGGAAAATAATTTTAATGAAACAACAAGGAAAATAAGACATAATCGGCAAAATATGCCTGGCCAATATCATAAATAATTACAACACACAGTGGCTTTCTGTAAAAGAAAAAAGTAAGTGGGGCGGGTGGGGGTCCCATAATTGTTAAGCACTGCAGTACCAGGCATTAAAGAACGCATTGGTGAGTGTTAGATGAATTTGTTAGAAACGCCAATGGTAACTCACTTACCAATTTCAATGGACAATGTTCAAGATATCAGCGTATCAATTTGTAAAAATTGACCTGCAGTATCAAATATGTTAATTCAAAATTGCTTATCTGAACACAAAATGTTTCCCAATAATGAATTCATAACGTTGCTGCTGATGATGGTTTAACCTGAAATAGGTTCAATCTTAAATGCAGCTCCGGATGTTTGGTTTTGTCTTTCTTTAGCTCCTGCGGTTGAATTATATTGATGGTCGGTTGGTTCAGGTCATAAAATGATGGTTAGCTATCAGCCATTTTCTTAACATTCACTTACTTGTACTTAGAACAATTGCATTATTCTATGGTTGTAAGAATGCCAATTTCCACGAAAACACTCCTTTTTCCTACTAATCCTGTTTGTTGGGGAATTCTCTTTAAATATGAAAAATGACTAACCAAGGTATTCAGTATCAGTAACGGAATTTGGAGTAAAGCTTGTAGTAAATTTTAGTATAATAAGACTCTTTTGATAATTTCAGATTCGTGTTTGATATGCCAGCAAATAGAAACCTTACATTAGATCTTAAATCAGGTAAGCGTAGTTCTTTATATCTAAGAAATTGCCATTGATTACTGTTTCTAAATTGCCCAAGTCAAGTGATGATATGTTGACAGAGATTATGACCCACAACCATCATTTAATCGACGTAACCAAACAAATGGTGCCATTTAAAGAACTAACGCTCTAACCGAACGTGCTACAGAACCCTCCATAATTGTTGATTTCATTTTATATATAAATTAGAATGAAATTAATTATACCACAATAAGTGTATCATGTCAAACGGATTTGACCTTCTACTCTAGTTTGACATTTTCACATTGAGTGTTAAGTGTTATTGATAGGACTGCTATCATTTAGTGCATTGAGTGTAATAATTGTTCTCTAATAAATGGCTCAATGAGTTAGACGCTTGCTCGCTAAAGATTTGGACGCACTAGCGGTCTAGATCTGCGAATTTTGTCCCCGACTCGAATCTTGAGTAACATCTCGTGTGTGGCCATGCTAACACGACAAGATTATCGCGTCTCCGACAGGATTTATATCGGGTGGATTTATAACTTTGATAACTGTCTCCGCTGGTTTTATTGTCTGCAAAACAGACCGTCATGCTCCGCATTTGATTTTCGACATGGTGGAAAATGACTGACTGGAGATTTTTGTCTCCTCGTGTGCTCGGTGAAACTCTTGAAAAGACTCTAGTCGATGACAAAAATCTCTAAGCAAGACCATTTGTTTTCCAGCACCTTACCTGATTGTCAAGGGTTCAATCTCGGCATAGTTCGAAATAATACCTTCGATACCTTCGGATTTTTTAACCCGGTTTCCCCTTGTCAGTGATGCAGGTAAGAGGAGCTGACATGGAAAAAGCATCTAGTCGTTCGGATTGGACAATAAATCGAGGCCCTGTGTGCTACAGGCTGTATACGTTAAAGATTTCTCGACAGTTGGAAATCGAAAAAGAGCAGAGCAGTCACTGTCCTGGCAAAATTTCCCTCATTGCACCCTGCATGGTGTTGCCCGTCTTCATTAACCGACAGGTTGCAGTAAAGTAGGATGTAAAACTCCATTCAATGGCTAATGAATATTTATATATACGCTCAAGTGTCATAAATGTCCTGGCACAATCTATCTAATTATAGTATTAATAAGCTGAGGATATGCATTGTCGCAAAGGAAACTTGAAAAGACATCTTTTTGATGAAGAACATGCTTATTGCACTTGTCAATGCATTCGACAATCCTCGGCATTTTCCCTAAAGTTGAATCTGCCTGCGTCCATTAACAATTACATTTACAGATGATTGAACAGTAACAGAATTGAAAAATGATCTTTTCAAGGGTACCAGGATCAGAGTTATAATACACAAAAAATCTGCATTTTAATCAGATTGGGTTACACATGTACTCTTAACAAATAATTCATACAACACAAAGAGTGACTAATGAATAACATAAAAAAGTTTCGTAAGGTAAAAAGTTACTCAGAATATTTTCAGATATTAGTCGTTTTTTTTTACCCTTTATCTAGGTCAAATTGGAAACCATCAATGTTTTATAAGAGAGAAGGATATGATTAAAGTATCCAGTTTAACGGTTTTTCTGTCGTCAGAAATCATTAGGATTCACCTAATATTGTCATCGCTCCGAGGCAAAGAAATACACATTCTGACCACAGAAATATTGTAACGTTGCCATGTAATGTTCTCTATACCTTTCAGTTTCCATGATGGATTTTTCCAAACTACTGTCGTGCTTGAAACCATACGTCATTAGTAATGCTCTTATGGCTGATTGTTCTGATACAAAAAGAAAGCATAGAGCTCCAATATAAAGTTTGGAATTCACATCATTCATATGGGGTGCCATTTTGAAAATGGTCGTCACTAATCGCAGAAACTAAATTGTGTATTCTACTGAATTCTGGCAAGATTTTTAGATGCTTTTTATGGCAGTGGAATTATTTTCATTTTGAAAAAATAATGACAGCAATACTCAGCAAATCTGTTTTTAAGACAAAGTCGTGGTTCATTGCCATCGTGCCACAAACTTGTTGGATGTATTACTGGCGTTCAAGATTACACAAGACTTGAAATACTAAACTGTAATCTTGGTCTCAAAACTTTGACACTTTTTCTCGTAGATTTTTTGAGACTACTGATTACTAGTTATCATTTGATTAATTTTTTCTCTCGCTCAGCTAGCTGATCAAATTATATATAGGGAAGGCTTTTTTTTGTTTCATATTTGCGACCTGGAATATCGAGATATTGTTCTTAAAATATTACGTTGTCGGGACTTAGTCGCAACCTACATTTTTAAAATGTTCGGGGTCAAAGTTGTGCCAATCAAATAACATATTTTCTGGTTGCAGTTTTCAGTATTTTAGATGTTTCAGCAGATATATTCTGTGCAGTCTGGTCGGGAATATGAGTGGCCAGTTGAGAAAATTGGCAGTCTAAAGATGATGAAATGTATGGTACAAAATAATGGAAATCAGACCTTTAAGGCTCATTTGGAGCTTTCTTTTCTGTCTTATTTAAGACATCGATTTCTTAACATATCATGGCAAGCGTTCATGAACAATCGATGAAAAAGTTTATCAGCCTCTCATATGGAGCACGGTAGACTACCAACTGATGGACTATATTTATGATTTTGAGAGTATTTGAATGGTAACCTTTGTGATGTTGGTCTTATCTAATCAATGACTAATAGTGAAGGGGCGGAAAGAGATTCTTATAGATAAAAAGGTTCTTCACCTCCGTTCGTTGGTCTTTGGCGTGGTGACTCTCAATCACTTCTCAATTTAGGATAGGTCTCGCCATTCAAAATATTTTTGGCTGAGGTATGCATTAGTGATTAGTTACTGGTTTGATGTATAGACTAGCTACCCAATATATATTTGTTTGAGATATATACTAGCTATCCAATATATTTTTGTTTGAGATATATACTAGCTACCCAATATATTTTTGTTTGAGATATATACTAGCTACCCAATATATATTTGTTTGAGATATATACTAGCTACCCAATATATATTTGTTTGAGATATATACTAGCTACCCAATATATTTTTGTTTGAGATATATACTAGCTACCCAATATATTTGTTTGAGATATATACTAGCTACCCAATATAATCCTGTTTGAAAAATATATACTAGCTGCCCAATATATTGGTGATTAGAATATGTATATACTAGCTACCCAATATATTTTTGATTGAGATATATACTAGCTACCCAATATATATATTTTTTTTATAGACTAGTTACCAAATATATTTTTGTCTGAAGTATATACACTAGATATCCAACATATTTTTGTTTGAAGAATATATATACCAAAAACCCAATTTAATTTTGTTAAAAGAATATTCATAAGCTACCCAATATATTTTGTTTTGAGATATACATAAGCTACCCAATATATTTTGTTTTGAGATATACATAAGCTACCCAATATATTTTGTTTTGAGATATACATAAGCTACCCAATATATTTTGTTTTGAGATATACATAAGCTACCCAATATATTTTGTTTTGAGATATACATAAGCTACCCAATATATTTTGTTTTGAGATATACATAAGCTACCCAATATATTTTGTTTTGAGATATACATAAGCTACCCAATATATTTTGTTTTGAGATATACATAAGCTACCCAATATATTTTTGTCTGAAGTATATACACTAGCTACCCAATATATTTTTGTCTGAAGTATATACACTAGATACCCAACATATTTGTTTTGGGATACACACACACATATAATGTTGATGATTTGCAAGATTTGTGATAAATAGTGTTTGTAGAATCCGTACGTTAAACCATAAAACTATATATAGTATATATTATAGTTCTATCCAACACGTTGACCTTATATTGTGATAAAGCATATTTTACGATTAGTTACGTCATCAGCACTTAGTTTTAGTGGAATTGCAGAAACCACAGACGTCTTATTGAAAATTGGACTGATGCAAATCGATACTATAAGTCACATATACATATAAATCACCATAGCCTGATTGATCAGTCAGGCAGGCCTATTTGTACTGAATTAATAATACAGTTCAAAACCAACCAATTTGCAAAAGTCGTTGTTCAAACCATACAGCAGACTGTAAATTTGAATTACAGATAATTACTTATTTACATATCAAACCACGTGACTGTATTACTGGCGATACACCACTACTATAGCGCGCTATCCAACTTGTGCAGTCAGTCGAATATCTTGCAGCTTGTGAACTATTTCAAAGTCTGTTTTTCTCGTTTACAGAAAAGGGTATCAGAATGGCAGCTCTTATTGGAAAATGGAAAAAGGAAACAACTGATAACCTTGGTCCCTTAATGGATAAAATGGGTGAGTTAAATTTTGATCACTTTAACCTATTCAGTCATATGTTTGGCCAATTTTTGCAAGAAATGAATGGGTTTTTTATGAGAATGGTAATTCTTTTAAGTGAGGATGAGTCTGAAAATATGAAATTGTCTTTTTATTCATAAGGTTCTACGGTTTCTTTTCAAAAAAGATGTTATAGTTTGGAGCAAGATAAATTTTGTTGATGCCAATTTCGTGAAGAAAGATAATGAAAAGTTTATTTTTGGTATATTCAGATGCCGTTTATAATAAAAAAAAATTAAAAAGTGGTGGCATACATTTACTTCTTGAAAATAAAATATTCAAGTCCGATCCAATTTAGAAAAAAAACCAAATGCATTATGCAGGCTAATCGTCGCTATTTATATCGCAATCTAAAAAAAGGTTAACGTTTTGACATTATAATGACCTTGATCCAACCTCTGTAACAAGGATCAGAAAGGCGATGTCGGTCGTTAGGGAAAGAGTATAAACATAATAACATAATATTGTGCCTGGTACAAGAATCCACATGCTATAGTCCGAAATAACTGCCTCTATTCCAGCCTCTGATAATCGGCTGGAGTAACGAAATAGCTATCAGAGGCTTGAATAGAGGTAGATGTTTCAGTCTACCCATGCTATTTCGTAATGTAATCGACTTTAGGAAAACGGACTCGGTTTGCAATATTTGTTATATCGAACGAAGTTTGTCAACTAAAATGTCTCAGTTATTAAGTGAAATACCGCTATGATCGAGCGAATTTCCTCAGTACGAATAAACATTTCGTAATATCTCATTTGTTGTAGGAACCGCGATGGCTCGATGAGTTGTTGGTCGCTGAAGATCCAGGGTATGGGGTGAGATAATACGGATTTTCCCAACCGGTTTCAGCATCAGTGATACAGGTCTGAGGGGCTGATCACGGACTAGGTAGTTGTTGGAAGATGACAAGTTAATGTCCGCTTCCAGCTAACTGATATCACAGACAGACATGGAATAGGCGTCTTATCGTTCGGATAGGATTTGTTTTATCCGACGCCCCGTGCGCTACAGACAATTGGGAATCGAAAAAGAGTAGGCTAATATCATTGTCCTGGCATAATTTCCCTCAATTCACTCTTATAAGCGTAAAAGGACGTAAAACTCCATTCTCTTCATTCCATTTAATTTTACAAGGTTGTAAAAGATTGTAAATTTCCATCAACTCTTGTCAAGTCATGATTTACAAGCAACATTCTATGATATAATACAGTATAGTATAATATAATATATGACATTATGAGGTAACAATTTCAAGATCTACTTGTATTTAATGAAATTATGAGAGCACACGACGCCAGACTTTAGACTTTAGTTAAAGATTTAACTTCTTGCAGCTGTTAGTCATTGTTTAACATAAATTCTCACTTTCATCGATCGAACTGGAGATTGTGTTCTATGATGTTTTCAGATTGTTTCTAACGTGTAAATCAAATCAGAAAAAGCAACTTCAATTGTTTTGTTTATGTCTTCAACACCTTTCCCAAATATAATCATATAAATGTCAATTTCCGTTCTCAATTGCCTAATTTTCATCTATTCCTCTTGATTTATATCCATATACCTGTTGATTTTTGTTTAAAACTCTTGATCTAAACGCAGATCCGTTGATTTGTATTTTAACTTTTAGATTTATATCTTGACGTTTGAGATTTATATCTTGAACTCTTGATGTGTATCTATAACTATATATATATCTAGAACTCTTAATTTTTGTATCTAGAACTCTTGATTTATATCCAGACATCTTGATTTATATGTAGAACTCTTGATTTATATCCAGAACTCTTGATTTTATATCCAGAACTCTTGATTTATATAATTTATATCTAAAAGTCTTGATTTATATCTAGAACTCTTGATTTATATCTAGAACTCTTGATTTATATCTAGAGCTCTTGATTTATATCATCTATATCTAGAACTCTTGATTTATATCTAAAACTCTTGATAACTTCATTTCAGCTATCACTGTCACTTTGATTTATGATTATTCAACGTTCAACTTGTTACAATGTAACTCCGGAAATAACGTATTTTTTTACTTTATATATACTGTTACCTTCATCATGAAAAACTTCCTCATAAGCTGCTACAAATGTATATTGCCAAACTTTTATTGTAGACTTCGGGTTTTGGATCGTTAGTAATTTGGGCATTCATAAGGGCATATATATTATGATGTCTTCGCAAACCCTTGACAATAATTTGGGCCCTATACTTGGCTATAACATAGAAAAGGTGTCTAGTCGTTCGGATGGGACAATAAACCGAGGCCCTGTTTGCTACAGACTGTGTACGTTAAAGATCCCTCGATAGTTCGAAATCGAAAAGGTGATGTCCTGACAAAAATGTCCATCTTTGCACTCTGCATGGTTTTTGCCCGTCTTCATTATCCCCACATGGTGCAAAAAAGTAGTACGCAAGACTTAATTTATTTCATTTTATAAAAGGGACTTGAATGAATATCAATGGATATACCCTTTCCTTTCAATTTAACTCATTCACCTTCTCTTTACAGTTGTAGAAACATAAACATTCTAGTAATTATAATGTATACAGCGGCGTGTGTTTATATTTCTGCAAGTGTTGATGTATTTCAAGTTCTGTAGATATTATTAGACCTTAACCTAGGGTCAACTGATGTTACAGAGATAAGAAACAGAATTCTTCTCATTTATTCTTTGATAAATATGTTCGACAAATGTAGTCTGTACTGCATCAACACTGAATAGCAGGATATGCTTTAGAAACTGCTATTGTGTTTAACACAGTTCTCTGTAATTTTGAGCATCTAGGACATGACTTGAGACGGCTGAGGGATTTGTTAGCATTTCTTTCTCACTGAAGTATTTGAAAAGCAAAGTGTTTCAGTAGCGAGACTTGCATAATTATGACCGCGCCCAGCGCGTTAAATAGGAGTGTTTATGAACGTCTTCACTCTTATACTAATTAAAGGGGTAGTCTGATTTTTAGTAGGTATCTATGAAAAGTTATTTACTCAAATTTATGAAAACTTAAGATCAAAATCTAGAGAAATAAGTCCATTAAATTATCTGATTGTTTTATCTACAAAATATCCTGCATAATGTAAATTACAAAGTTAATAATTAAAATATTGCACGCTGCCCCTTTAAAATTGCTGGACGTGGGGATGAAAATAGCAGAACTGGGGTTGTTTATATTATTAACGGAAATATATCACGGTAGATCGTGAGATAAGTGAGCCTGCAATTCATTAATCTACTTCGTTAAACTGTTATTGGTGAAATAATGTACCAGAATATTTCTTAAGGGCGAAGAACCGTCATGTTATTACTACAGCTTTGTTACCCGTGGCGCTTATCAAAATTTAAAAGATCCTTTCCCGTGCAATTACATTAACACCACATGCCTTCCTTTAAAGAGATAACGATTGAAACCTTAGCTATATTTTTCTAGATATTTTAGACTACACTTATTAGATTAATAAAATAAAACTTCAGAGTAAATTAGAAAGTTTAGCGTCAAACATTTCGTTTGTCTTATACGAGTTCTACTATTATTTATTGATGAGCAGTATAAACTTCTATGATACTTGTGTATTGAAATCAGAAATAAAACATACAGCGCATTTCAGTTGATGTCTGATAACTTTAGTAGACCACTATGGCACTATGATGTTTAGTAGAATGGAATGAAAAAGAAATGAATTGGGCAATTAACTATACTCGATTTTCAAGTATCGAAAGACTTTTAACGTGCATAGCCTTTGCACTATGACCTCTGTATACAATGTAGTACTAAATTAACAGAATACGGAATTTGTGAAATTAAAGCAATTTGACTCATTAGCTTACTAAATTGGTGACCTTGTAACCACAAGAGTACAGAAAGTAGATGCTTGTCTAACCAGACCTGTTTATTAATTAACAAATGATGTACCTCCTTCATCACTAGAGAGAATCCGTGTTTAACATTCCTCAACAAGTTAAGTAGTCTACCTTCTCACTTGACTTATCGGTCTGTTTGAGAGGTTCTGAAAGGGATACAGTATTAGAAATATGATCACAGTGAACACGGCTATCCATAACACTTTTCATTAATTGATCAAATCCAACCTACGTTACCCTATACTTAAATGATAACATACAGTTTTTACAAATGCTTAGCCATACAATTAGTATTTTTTTCTAGTACTGTGGGATTTAGACAAATATTAATTAAAACAATGTGTTCTAGATATGACTTCCCCTTAGTAAATATAAGCATTGATCTAAGCATACAAGTTTCAATGCTGATCCATCTGATTGTAACTGTCTGAATATGTCACTAAACAAAATGTATTACGATTAGACTATTCCAGAGAGATTTATTTGCCATGAATAATTGTTATCAACACATTGTGTTATCAAATTACAAATCATTTCGATATCACAATGATTTACTCACTGGTTCACCTTCAAATCAAGTCTGGGCGAGAGATAATGTCGTTTGGTTTTCCTAATCTTTATCTTGATATATTAGGGATTAGAATAACGCTAACGTGAAAGGACAAGACTGAAATATGAAGATCGAATTCAGTTCACTTTTGCTTTTTAAGTTGATCATTAAATGATATAATGTTCAGGTCAGGGGTAGATTGGTAATATCTGTCAAGGTCAACATATTTTGGTTAGATTTGAGAGTTCGTTAACATAATTTTATGTTGGTGGGAGGGCTTGTCAACGTCAGTAAGCTGATGGGGTTTGGGAGGAGGTGGTAAACATCTGAGTAAGTTGTTGAGATCTGAGAGAGACTGGTGAACATCTTAGTAAGTTGATGGGATCTGAGAGGAGTTAGTCAATATTAGAGTAAGTTGGTGGGATCTGAGATGAGCTGGTAAACATCTGAGTAAGTTGATGGGATCTGAGAGGAGTTAGTCAATGTTAGAGTAAGATGGTGGGATCTGAGAGGAGGTGGTAAACATCTTAGTAAGTTGGTAGGATCTGAGAGGAGTCGATCAACCCCAGAGTAAGTTGGTGAGATCTGAGAAGAGTTGGTCAACGTTAGAGTAAGTTGGTGAGATCTGAGAGGAGTTGGTCAACGTTAGAGTAAGCTATAGTGAGATCTGAGAAGAGTATGTCAAGGTCAGAGTAAGTTGGTGGTTGGATCTCAGATTTTGTCAAAGTATGCTTCCAAGGTGAATATGAGCGACAATGTGTAGTTGACATCTGGAAAGAGTTGGTCAATGTTAACATATATAGTTATATAGGTGTGACACTTTTAGACAACCGAACTCGAACTACTTGTATCTGGCACTAGACTATATAGATTCCTAAATGTTTTATGTCATTCCTAATGGTAACCGAATATCAAGTCAATATCACAATGAGTTTTTGTTTAGACAAATATAGAGCATTGAGTGCGAACCTTTAGAAAACGACAGGATATGCCCTTGGGCTCAAAATGTTCTCAACTTCTATTAACATTGTTCGAGATATCATTAGCTTTATATATGTTACCAGATAAATATGATTTTTATTGACGAATTGATCAGTGTAATTGCATTGCATTTCAAATCGTTGTTTTCTATTTTTGGTTAAACTTAAGACTATTTTAGCTGTTTGGAAAAGACAGACGACTGTACTTCATGTTCATGCTGAGCTGATTTTTGAGCATTTGGAGGGTTTGATTTCCACTTGAAAAAAAGACGCTACAGATAGTATCATACGTGTAAGATATATATATTTTCAGGAATAAGTGATCAGGCAAAGCAGATGATATCCAACAGTAATCCAACAGTAGAGATCAGTCAAAATGGTGATACCTGGAACTTTATTACAACTATTGGTGACAAAAACAGAGATATCAAATTCAAGCTTGGTGAAGAGTTTGAAAATAATGCCCTTAATGGTGAAACTGTCAAGGTCAGTTCCTTCTTTAAATCTGTAAAGAGAACATAGTATAACAGAGGCTGCAGAACCTTGTATTTCTATTCAAATACATTATAAAAAAGGGGGGGGGGGGGTATGAAAATAAATGGCTCATATCGTGTATTTAAGAGGAATTGCCCCTATGGCCTTCCCGCCACTGGGTAAACTGAATTAGTAGCTCATTATTCTGGGTATAGCACTGTCTTTTGACAGATCATGGGCAGTGGTACTATCTGCGGGCAACCGCTTATGTATCCCATTTGACCTACAAGCCAATTCAGTCTGCTTTGTCTATTATCTATTAAAATTGTATGACTAAAATCTAAAATTTAAAACGGTTTATAAAAGTGATCTGATATTATATTTTCAGTCCGTTATAACTTTAGAAGGAGATTCAATGGTAGAAAAGTTTGATTGGAGAGGTAAAACCGTGACAATTACACGAAAAGTTGTTGATGGAAAATTGGTATCAGTAAGTATATAATGGCTATAAAGGCGATGGTATTGAATCTCAACCATGCAATTGCACCAAATGGCCACCGCGTGTTTATATCAATAATAGCAACTTAAAGTTGACAACGCCCCGGGGGTATTGATTTGTGTTGTTGTAGTTTTTGAAATCCTTGGCGCCATGATATTGATGTAATCGAATACAACTTAAACTTTTTGTGCGTTATGTGAAAATCTATGTTTCAATTACAACGACCAGAATCCAAGCATTTTTTTTTTTTATTTATTTGGTCATTTGCTGGGTTTAGTTTTTGTGTTTTGATACCAACCCTATTTCATGTTTAAAGCCGCCATGGTTCGAAGGATCGTAACGGTTACATCAATGCACTTTATCCTATTTTTCAAATTTTCTGCGGAGGGAACTTCTCTCAGGCGCTCTATGGACGAGCTTGCGCCTAAGATACTTTCACAGAGCCAGCCCCCCCTATAATCATGCTGCCCCTTATTTGTACCCGGGAGACTTGCGCTGCTAATGATGGTCAATATTCAGAAACTCCGTTAGTTTCACGATCAAATTTCTTGATTTTTCAGACAATGTCGACAGACGGTGTTACGGCTGTATTTACATTGGTTCGAAACTGTTGAAAATATTTGTTTAAACATCTTATTATTTAATTTTTTGTTGTAGAATGGCATGGTTGTTTGTATGATAACACTCTAATCCTCGGCATGGTTATAGCTTTCATTTCAGTGCTGCATATTGTACTATTTAGTTGCATCTCGTTTAGTTTCTTTCCCTAAAAAATTAAAACAACGAATGACTCGTTGACTTTTAGCGAGGATGTCCTCTACCCCTTTATGACTCCATGCGTAGATCAACCAATTTTTAACAGATTTTTTCAAGCTCCTACCCTCTGACTAATAGCTAACAATAATATAAACTCTCAATCGAAATAATTTGACTACGCGACCGCACGATCAGCTACAATTCTGTACATGTTTCCTGATAAAACATTCATTATGCATGAATGCTTAATTGCATGACGGTTTGTGCAATCCAATAACATTATCCATGCCTAACAAAATACTAATTTTATGTTTCAGTTGCCTAAAATTCGTTTACACTAAGTTTAAATAATATACCAAGTTTAACTTAGCTTTCGGAGATCATCTCGACCGTTTAATACCAGTGGTTTTTTCTTTTCGGATAGAGGTTCTTATTTAAGAGCCGATATCAATTTGCGCATTCTGAAACCTGAAATTATGCTACATTTAAGCTTCAACAAAAGCATGGCGTTCTATGGGTAGCCATAATGACATCCAATCAAAGAAATCACACAGGAATTTGTGTGAATAACGCTTACAAATTATGGACACGCTTACGTTTGTTCGTTTATTGCACAATGCATGTATATTTATCGTATGTTTTCTTTTTTTTAACAGAGGTTTGAAGTAGACGGTGATATTTCATCTATGACATTCACCAAAGCCTGAATGTATTAACTTCAACATATTATTTGTATGGTTTTACTTTTATTTCTGTTGCTTTTTCT